AAGCTATATTTAACGTTTTTAACAGAAGAGTCTGAATGCCCATCGGCAGAAACTGAGTGGGACTATGAAAACTATTTATATGGCTTCTCAGACTTAGTTGTGCTGAAATAAACAGGTGTTAAAATAAACAGTCTTACAATAGAGTTTTTTGGGTCAAAACTAGAAGCATTAGATAAGAGAATAAAATGATACCACCGTGTGCATTACTTGGTCACTTTTCTTCTGGTTGAGAAGTTCCCTGAGCACTTCAAGTGAGTAAAAAATAACACTGCAATATGTAACACCTGAAGCCATTTTAAAGTTCCCTGCTTCTGGCACTGCTGACAGTGCACAAAGCAATCGAGTGAGGGGAAGGCAGTGTGCATGTGTGTGCATTGGTGTAGTGTGTGTATATTTATGAAACTAATACAGAGTTAGAAACTTAAAGTATAAGAAAGCTACAGCTGTATTTAAAGTGATATCCTAGTGCTAAGATGTGGATGAAGAAAAGGATGCGAAAATGTGAAGAACAGTACTAAAGACAAGTTTTACGCTGAAATTATTCCTTTGGAACACTAGTTGTGAATAAGCACCAGTGTTGTTCAATTAAACAAGGCGAAGTCCCCTCCTCTATTTTTTGGTCTGTAAGCAAGACTAAAATACAGTATTACAGATGCAAAGCTTTTCAGTGTTTTCCCCATTAGTTGTAGGCATACAGAGCCACTCTTAAATGCAGCACTGTCAAAAGATTTCACCAAGGAGGGGAGGAACAGACAAAGCCTCCTACAGGAGCAAGTCTAGTATCTTACTACAGTAGGAAACAACAAAATAATATTTCCTAAATGTATCCAGATCTCTCTTAAAATGGCTAGATATTTTCTATCTCTTTTTTCCTGTTTGGAAAGCTTTCCAGAATTGACTTTACTCCCCAATTTGTAGTTACAGTTTGTTCATGTTCATGTACAGCTAACTCAGCTGTTCTTAGGCTAACGTCATTTAGCTTAAATGACGTTTTTAGCTTAAATGTTTCTTGGTGTTTATCCCTTTTTCCTCTTTGTTGCTACCAGTAGGGAATTTAGCTATGACCCTTTCCATTCAGGAGAGAGGAGGCTGCCTACAGCCTGTCTGTCAGGGTAACTGAACAAGCACAAGGTGTGGAGGATCAGTGCCATATTATCTGAACAAAATTGCACTGATCATTAGTTGCCTGCATAATATATGCCCAGACACCCTTGGCTGACTGGGAATCATTTCAGGAAGGCAGCCTGTGCTTCTTGCATTTTTTGGTTGTGGGTCTTTTTGTTTGTTTCGTTTGGGTTTATTTAATTATTTATATATTTAAGCATTTTGTGCTTGTAATTTATTTACATTTGTGTAATGGGTACCTTCCAGTTCCCTCCAGCTATCTGCTTGAGCTAGCTGATTCAAAGTTTGCTACAGCTTATTCCCAGTAATCTAATTACAAAATCAGAGCAGTTCAAGATATTTTTATTCCATTCCATACTTTGCATACTGCTGGATGAAAGCAACACCTACATTGCCTCCCATTTTGTGTGTATAGTTTTTCTGTAAGTGTTATCAGAGTCAAAAATCCAGTGGTTCAGAGAGACATGCAAGTTGTCAAGTCCAACGTTTTGGAAATAGACCTTTTTTTTTGCATTTCAATGATATGTAGTATTCAGTGACTTTTTAAATTTTTTTGTTTTGTTGTCTTTGGTGGAAGGAGATCTCCTATATCTTTGTGGTTTTAGTTTTGATGCCTATATCACTTTGTCATCCTGTGGTGGCTCTGTGAGTGTGTGGTAAGCCAAAGCCTTGTGTTCTCCTGATAGCTTCCCAACAAATCTCCCATTTTATATATGTATTTTTCCCTTGGATACACAACTTTGCAGTCTTCACTCTTGAATTTCATCCCATTCTCAATAATCACATCAGTGAATTGTATCAACAATAAACCACCCATATTTTAAAGAGTGAAACATGGTTAATTTTTGTGACAGTTTTTTCATTTTACTAGTTACAATATTCTTTTAAGTTTTATGTGAAAATACCATTACATTGAGTACTGACTTCAGTTCCTTACTTTTTTTCTTTTTTAACTGGGAGAGGGAAGAAATAGCACATTGAGTCCACGATGCATTGATAGAAAGGTGGGAGACTTTTCTACTGGGATAATTTTTGTCTGTTTTTCATGGCTTTGGAGTGTGTATCATCTACCTGAACAGAAGCTGAGCTGAGTCCTCAGGTAACAAAGTCAGTGTTAGTCAAGGTGGTATTTAGCCTACTTAAATCCTGTTGGTTCCTTGAATGTTTCAGCATCATTCTACAGACTCCTTGTCAGCTACTCACTGTAAAAATGTGCTACCAATTACCAGACAAACTGAACTTACAAGGCCTGTTCTATTGTGGTGAATGAACATAAGAAGAAATTTTGAAGCTAATGTAATGCTAAGGCTTAAAAAAAAAAGTAGCTGGTAGAGGTAGCAGTGTAATAAAAGTGCTCCTTACAGTCATACAGCTGCTGAATTCTTGTTCAGAAATGTCCCTGCAGGATTCTTCAGCAGGACCATCTGAGTATATCCTCTTACTCATTCCTGGGTTTGCTATTGTCTTTTGAATTGGACTGTGTTGTATCAAGTGTCTACCTGATTGTCAGAGTTGAAAAGTTGACTTAACTGAAAAACAGATTTTTGAAAAAAAATTATTAATTTTTAAACATGGTTTGCTTCTCTCCTGTGGTTTATGACATGGCCTCACAAGCACTTGCACTGGCACAGCTGAAAAGGCAGGCAGGGGATGAAGGGAGGATCCAAGGAAGCCTGATCTGGCAGTCCTGTACATTTTCAGTACATTAGGGCTTTATGTTTTGCTTGTTCTGTTGCACTCAGTGCTGTCAGTGGATTTTTTTCCCCATTATCCTTGTTGTGAATTTTTATGTGGACCAGCTGTCTGAGATGGGTTGGTGCTTGAGTCCTCACTGGTGTGTTTGGGGACATCAGCTGTCATTTCTCTTGGGTCCTGGTTGTGCTGTGCCTTGCGAGTTTGCTCCTCTACTGCCTAATCCCAGTGAAAGTGGGAGTTGGTTGAGAGAAATTGCAAACCAAAATGATGACTTCAGTTGAGGAAGAGGACATGAGGTTTTTTTCCTTACTGGGAGTTTATGCTTTCTGATTGAGGCAGTCACGGGCCAGAAGACTTTATGAATGCATAGATCTGTCTGGATCCCTGACCACAGTAGTAGAAGTAGTTCATAATTCATCCCATGTGCTTATCCTTCCAACTGTTCTCTTTCTTAAGAAGTATCTCCCCCAAACTAAAGTGCTGAGATTAAATATTTTATCATCTCCACACACAAATCTAAGATTAGCTGGGAATGGAATCTGTAAGTTTTAAGTCTCTGGCTCTGAGCCTTCTCTTTGGGCTGTTACTTGTAATGCCTGTAGTTGGAGACAGTACTTTTGCTTTGTCTCCAGCAGGGTATTTGCCCTTTGACAGTCATCAATGGCAAATTCCTCTGCAGTCAGCTGATCAGATGGTGCTTTTCTGAGGTTATTTTTGGAAATCACCAAATACACAATGAGGGAGTTCACTTAATGTACTCATATCCAAACAGGTGACTAATCTAACCTTTGAGATCACACTGGATACAGGTTTGTTATAGTGGATGCAATTTAAATTGCTGAAGAGGTTGAACAGAGCTGGCGTGGCTTTCTTATACTGTTTTATTTCCCCCTTCCTCTTCAGAAGGGGTACTTCAGAATTCCAGGTGATAAGACCTCTGGACTTCTTTTGCTGATATGTTTCAGATGTGAACTATAAAGATGCTGGAGGTAAAACCTCCAATGAATACAGCAGTACCATGACACTGTAATGTTAATAGTAAGGCATCATCTAAATTGTTTGGTTTCCATGGAATGCTGCAAAGATTTTTGCCAGCTATTTGTGGTCTAAATAGATTCAGTATAAGAATACTCCTAAAATATGGGGTATAATGTTTCTTTTTGCGTTCAATATGTTAAAATAATTGGATAGAGTCCTAGGAAGTGACTTTTGCATCATTTCTCTTACATCATGAGTAACAATAAAACAATGGTAGGTCAAATGTGTAGCTGCTGCGATTCACTGAAATCTTATGAATGAAAACTGGAATTAATTTGGTGGGTTTTCTTTGCTTTTTTTTTTATCATGCATCATGCTAAGCAGCTCTTGACATAATACAATTTGTAGTGGTTGATACTGTTTTTCGGTGGGGTCCAAAACCACCACCATCTCGGAACACATACTTAAATTTTCTTGAAGATTAACAGCTTTTTTTTTTTTTTTTTTAATTTGTATAACCATAATTCTGCCTCTCTGTTCTGGAACAATTTTACGTTTTTGAGAGTGCCTGTATTTCACTTTCAGTAAGCAAAATGGTTGCCTGCTTTCACTTCTTTCTTTGAAACAAATTGTTTATTAGTGCTTGAGAATTCTTAACAAGATTTAAACTCGAATTTTATATAGTGTTGGTGAAAGCTTTGCCTAGTGTTAAAATGTGTGAAAGTTATTTGAGAGATATGTAATTTATTTTGTTCAGCATAGCAGTGAGAAAGTTCATATAGTTGGGAGGGCAATTAACTAAATTATCCAGGAAAACTGAAATTAAATTCCATTTTTAATATTCTGCCTGGGGAAGTGATATTGTTTGTTTCTCTAGCAGTGTCAGAACAGAACATATGATGGGTCAAAACTGTTTTAAGCCGCTTTAATAATTTAACATGGAAAGAAGATACTGTGTAAATCATTTCCTGATGAGTGTACATGATGCTGGCCACCAGCAAAAGAGGAAGGATGTATTTTTGTGGGCAGGGGGACAGAGTAGATTGTTTATAGGGGAGTGAAAGCAAATGGCAAGTAATTTATTAATTACAGAAATAAAGTTAACCAACATAGTAGTGTTATAATTACAGCAGGTTCCCAGAGCAGAGGTTTGCCAGAGGGCAATCCACTATTCCACGTTTAATTTTTCTCTTTTTTTTTAGGCTCTAGATGTTGACCGAACTGTTCTCTATAAAATGAAGAAATCTGTCAAAGCCATAAACTTATCTGGTCTGGGTAAGTACATAACTCCTGTTAGTTTATATTGGTGAAATTGTAGGATTCAAACAGCCAGATGTTGTACTGAATCAGAAAGAGTTATATGGGTAACTCTGAGAAATATGTACATTTTAAATAACAGTTTTGAACTAGCTGCTTGATCCTGAGCTCAGTAAGGATGAGATGTGGTGAGGTAGCTGAATGTCTCTTGCTGGTGTTGGGGTACAAAGTGGGGAAGTTGTGCTCTCCCCTTTCCACCAGGTCTGGGCTACCTGCTCCTTCTGCCACCCCTGCCGCTCGGCAGATCCCTAAGTGAGATTTTTAGCTCGTGTAAAGCAGCATATGCAGTGAAATCAAGTTAACTGGGATTAGATGGGCACCTGAAATGGCAAGGCAAGTGTATCATCAAGAGCTGAGGGCATGGGAGGGGTGAAATTACTCTTTGGCAGCAATAAGAGTCTACATTTGCTCTACTGCTTTGTGAAACCTCACCCTTCCTGGTGGCTTCCACTTATGTATGTTGGGAATTTCATGACGAGAGATCTGATGGGCTACAGTTTTTTGTTGTCAGGTTGTACAAAGTCAGATATTTCTCTTCCAATGCTGATAAAATACAAAGAACTATTGCTTCATGTGTTTTTAAATGTGTGCCAATCTCTTGGAGTTGTGTGTGTTTATCTTCTTTGAAAAAAATAGCCGAAGCTTTTGTTTTTGTGCATCAGCAGCATTTTGTGAACAAGAAACAGCATTTGTTTTTGTGGATAAGAAACAGCATTTGGTTGGCTTTTGTTCTCACTGTGCAGTTCATAGCAATTAGAGCTAAGAAAACCAATATTACATGCAAAACAGATAGGCCTGGCAACCTTGGAGAGCCACCAATATCTGAGAGAACTGGTGGTCATGTTGGTGTTCAGACTCAAGGCTGGAACAAGAACTGCTGTTGTGGTGTAATTCTTGTCAGCTAACTGAAAGGAAGTTCCTTCTTGTCTAATGTAATGAAGCTGTTATAGCTGTTATCTTTGTATTGTGGAGGGTCCAGTTTAAGATTCATCTAGAGTTGTTTCATCTGTTACATATTGATTTGGCACCCTTTTTTTTTTTTTTTTTTTTTTTTTTTTTTTTTCTTGTTTGGTTGTTGGTTTTTGGTTTTTCTTTAATTTTATTTTATTCTAGAGTGCTTGGCTGTGCCTCATAATCAGAGTAGTTGTTAGAGCATTGTAGCAAATCACTAGTCTTTGCATAAGATCAGTACCCTGCCCACGTTCTAAATTCATGCTGCCCACCCAATCTTGACAAGAAAGTTTTGGAGGCATTTCTCTTCCACCAGCAGAAATACTACTAACCCAGCCAATTGCCAGCCCTTGGGGTTTCTCTTGAAAAAATAAAAACCATGGCCCTACACTCATAAGAACACAGTTACTGGATTTTTAATATAGGTTCCCTGAATACTAAATATGCATGTTTTTGCTTTCTTCTGTAATTTGACAATTTACAAACGTTTATGAAGGATTACGTAGTGACTCCAATTTGTACAGAGTTTTGTTTCTTACTTAAAGAAAGCCTCTAAATCTCAAACGTACCTGAATCTTATTTTTACATCTATTTTTAATAGATTTCATACCTTTCCTTTGTAGAGAAACTTTTAAAATCCATTAGGAAGAAACCATAGGGCAGGGACAGTATTTTGGAGGGTTCCATGAGAAAAATAGAACTTTGCGTTCTTCAGAAGCACTTGTGGAGCACCAGCTCAGTGAATATATATTGCTGCAATAACGACCTTTAGCATTCTGGGGAATGTCTTGTAATCCAGAGGAACAGTCCCTACGATGCTGGAGAACAGAAAACTCCTGGGAATGCTGTGTGGAATGGTTGCTGTGCTTGTTTCCTAAGGTAAAAAGTCAGCCTGGCTCAGCTGCTGAATACACAGCTCACCATAACAATTAGTGGTAGGAGCCTTTTCACCTTGTTCTCATGGAGAGGCAGCTTTCTCCTTTTGCTCTATGAATTGCAGCCTCATCTCTACTCTTCCTAAGCTAAGTGGGATGCAGGAAGCAGTAAGAATGTAGAAAGCAATATGGGAATAGTTCACCTTACGGGGTAGATGTGAGATCTAGAGGAGTTGTGACCTGCCATATCCTGGTTTGGGCTGTCTGTGCCAGTCCATTTAAAGCTTGTTCAGGTGTATGTTGAACATCCTTACTTCATCCTGCAGCAAAAAGTTTGTGAAGTGCTTAGCCCTTGCTGTTGATGCTGAGGAAAAATAAGTACAGTTCAGTGCTAGCACTTAGTTTTTAAATTTAGTAGCTGTTGGCAAACTATCTCTTACAGGCTGCAAATTTAAGCTGTCAAGGTAAAAACTTGTAGAATGAATGCTTTCTGTGTAACTTCAGTTTTGCATGTGCGTTATGCCAGTTCTTTAATTACATGGTGTTATTCCACTGCTGCACAGGATTTTAGTTTCATATATTAGAAATTAGAGGAAATTTGTAGTTATTTGAGAAATAAAGTTCTTGAATGGTTGTCCAGATAGGGCATGTGGACAGATAGGCTTATTTTTAGTTTGGAGCATGCTACGTTTATTGAACAGGTTGTATAACTAATTCATAGAAATTTGGCAAAAGGATATTACATAAAGAATCCTTTGGATATTAAATGTGTTGATGTGTACAAATGGGCTTGAAATGAAACTGGATCATTACTTGTTTGAACAGATTAATCCTCTCTAAAATAATCTTCAGGGTTTATGCAGGTCTCATGTAATGACCGAGACAGTCTTTGTTCTTGTTAATGCATAATTTGTTTTCTAGGGCGTGGGGTTTTTTTCTCTGACTTCCTTTGAAGCTTTAGAAGTTGGCCACAGTTAGAATAAGAAATAGGCAACATTAACTTTCTCAGGTGCCAACTTGGTGTGCTTTGTCTGTGTTCTCAAGTTGACATGGTCACTAAACTTGTGTTCAGTAAGACTTTCTATTTTATTCCACAGATCAAATTGACTTTTGACAAAGGGACTTTTTATGCTTGTCTACACAAGCAAGTAAGCTGGTGTCCTAGGAGTGAATCCCTTGATCAAATTATTTAAGACTGAGGGCCCCTCAGGTTTCCTTAATATTTGAATCAGGGAAGCTTATCTTAGGCCTAGATTTCCTCTCGTTCCCTGGGCTGAGTACCCCAACACGTGCAGCTCAAAGCTTTCTGAAGAGCAGAAGCATTGGGTGTGTGCTGGATGACTTGCACTGGTCTGGTTTTGTTGTCTCAGAAAGGAATCTGGTTGTCGTGAACCAGAGTTGCTTTGAGAACTGAACTGGCCCGTGGTAAATGCAGACTGCAAGGATTTGCTTCAGACCCTGCTCTGAATCAGAGAGCTAACATAGATACGGGGTTTGTCCTCATCTGTAGTGTAATCTGTAGTATTAAGGTGACTCAAGAGTCCTGTTTGATCTGTTGCCTTCTGTTGTAGAGAACCAAGACTCTGCCAACACACTCAGTCTCTTCTGTTTCTTTGTTCAGCACACAGCTGAAAATAGAAAATGTTAATAAAAAACTCTAAAATATAGAAGTTCATTATAGGATTTGGGAGTTGTTATACAGTCTCTGCTGTGGTGCAGAAATATTGTGGGTCTTTCTAGAGTGCCAGATGTTTGTCTTGTGTTTGTGGCTCATTGTCCTTTGTACAGCATGTGGATAGATATCCATAAACCAGAATTAGTGAGATATGTCGTACTTCTGTCTTATCAGTGTTAAAATATAAATAATATATGTTTGATGTATCAAGTAAACATTTTTAGCAAGAAATCTGAGAAGTTTTTCTTTAAAAAAACTCTCAATTGTAATTTCAATAGCCTTTTATCTACTGATGATATTTTCATGTTTTGCTCTTTTTGAAGCTCACGTGGAAAATGAAGAACAGTATACACAAGCACTGGAGAAGTTTGGAGGCAACTGTGTTTGCAGGGATGACCCAGATTTGGGAACAGCGTTTTTAAAATTTTCTGTGTTTACAAAGGAATTAACTGCACTCTTCAAAAATTTGGTAAGAATTACTTAAGAAAAACATTGACATTTTAAAGCCATTACAAAAGCTGTATTTATGAATTACAACAGCTCTTCATATTGAAGACAGTTTGTGTTTTGGCAACCACTATTCTTAAAAAATTCTCAGTGTGTGAAAATATCTCATGCCCTAGCCTTTCCCCTTACAAAACTCAAAACTAAACCCAAAACAACAAACGAAAAAACAAATTACTACAAACCCCAAACAAGCGCAACAAAAACCCCTCTTCCAACACTTCTCACGTCTAAAAGCTTCCCACAATAAAGTAGTTGTAACATGTGTTATAAAAGACACATATCCATTTGCTTTAAAATTGTGAAACCAGCAAAACCCAGCTTGATTTACTGTGTATGATTGTGTTGCTTCTGCTTTACTTTTTCCCACTTTCCATTTGTATTTATGAAAGGAGATTTTAGTGTCCCTGGAAGAGAGAGTTCTTGCTTCTCAGGGAAGAAAGTCAGGGAAGCAAAATCAAACAAAATGCTGTAATGACAGTAGTGTCCACTGGGGACTAATCCTGCAACTGAAGCCAATAAGCACTCTTTGGTGAGCCAAAGGGGATGGAGCCAAATGGAAGAACAGGAGTTTTAATTATGAATGGAGAATTTTCAGCCTCAGTTTCACGTTAATCAGAGGGTACAAAAAGGGCAGATTCTGATTACAGTCTACTAGGTAGAGCTTTCCCATGTCTAAGTCCCAGATTTTCTTGAATTCACATAACTCTTAAACCTGGGTCTATGAAGGGAAAATGACCCAGATTCCTATGAGCATTTAAAAGTCTGTGTCTGCTGAAATCAATGACATGGAGACACATCAAATGCTTTTGTGAGTCTAGACCAAATGTCTGTAGTTTGCAGCCAGCTGGTCATAATCATTTCTTTGGGGAATGTTTCCAGCTGATGGGATTTAGGGCAGTCCCATTCACTCCCTGATGCTGTCCTCTCTTTTTACCCAGTGCTGATATTGATGAGAGAGAATCTCGCCCCAAATGTATTTATCAACAGTGAAATGTATTTCATATTGGTCATATTGATTTGAACTTCTCTGGATGTACAAATATTATCTGGGATTATGAATTGGAAGAGGCATCCTGATTCAGTGTGAGTCAGTTATCCTGAGTCTCCCACACAGAGGCAGGCTGCTCCTATGGAAGGGAAAATGGAATGGGTCTTCTAATTGATACCGTCTGTTGACTAAAAACCCCTCTCTATCATATATTAATTGCAATATGATGACTTCATTAGGCAAATGGATCTGGGAAATGTGATGTTTAGGTGGTTTTAAAAAGCAATCTATTAAAAGCTCCACCCCCTCCCCAGAAAATCTTTTTAATGTATTATTTTTTCAAGAATACTTCTAAAAGCTAAAAGATGTTCCTGTTTTACCAAAAAATCATACCTATTTGTTCTCTTAAAACCAGAAATTACTATCTTAGCAAAAATATTTCTGGCAAGAATAACTTTTCTTCCATAAACTGGAAAGGAAAAAAATCGAAATAAATATCTGTAGGACATGTAATGCATGTTTTTGTTACCTTTTCTTATCCACATAAGCATTTTGTATGTCTTCTTCAAGGAACATTTCTAGCTCTTTTTGCTGTGTACTGTTTTTTCAGTAGCACCTATGTATTTTTGCTTCAGTTTGTATGTATAAGAAGGGGATATGTCATGAAAGAGTAGCTAAGTCTTTAGTTTTTCTCAGTTTGTGGTTCTGATTTTCTCTATTTTTGAAGTGAATAATAATTTTCCGTGGACTTGAATGTAATGGTGGGGTTTTTTGTTTGTTTTACATTGCAATAGTATAAGCACCTTCTCTCTTTAATACTATCTGGTGAAGAGTGAGTCTCAGTAAAGTTCTGCTCCTTCCAAATATACTTCATATTGTTGAAGTTCAAAGTTCTTTGTTTTCTCTTGACTAGCAAAGGAAATCTAATGGTCCTTGAATTTGGTGTGTCAGTAGGAAGATAGTTTCATTCAGAAAGAAAAACATATGAAAAAGAGACGTGAACTTCATTATTGCTTGAAAATGCCATATTCATAAACAAGAAATTTAGAACTATAAAAAAATTATAGATGTGTGTAACTTTGCTTATTAAAAGTTAATGCCACTAGAGTAAACTGTTGGTAACCAGTCATTTTGAAAATCTGTTCCTAAGTTCATAGATGGAGATTTAGGTTTCTAAGAGGTTAAAAGAGTGTAAAAAATGATGAGTGTATAAAGTCCTCTACAGTAGGTGGAAATAAATCAGAGTGCTGTTTTGTTAAAGGCATAGCCATATGTGAAACAAGCCCCATGCTTTCTCTCAGTGAAGTGATGTATCCAACTCTGCTTTCAGCATGTTGGCAGTAAAAAACATCCCTCTCCTCTGGCATTTCCTTGTAGCACTCCACATGTTTTAGTTGTAAATATTTGCATCAAAAATGTAGCCAGGGCCATGCAACCTGCTGCTGTTAAAAAAAACATTCTGAAAGGTACTCTTTAAATAGACCTGTCTCTGGAGTTCCATAGGGCACTGAATTTCCACAGAACATTTTAGCTGAAGTGAACGAGGAATGTGCAAGGAAGTGAGAGGACATGTTCAGACTGGAACAGATGCCAAAGATGTTAACACTGGCAAAGCTTTAGGGCTACTGTCAAGTTTTGCTTTGTCATATATTTTGCTTTTGTTTCCAGAAGCTGATGTGTTTTGTCAGCTCTTGGCCTGGGTGGTATTTAGAGCTGTAGCTCTAAAGTGCTTCTGCAAAAAGACTTTTCTTAAACTTATCTTTAGTAAGGTACAGAAAAGCTATTATAAGGCTGTTCTGCTTTGACAGGGATATTAGATGCTTGTTTTCTTTAATAATTTTAAAAGTTTCCCAAAAACCTGAAGTTTCTGTGGACTGATCAATGCGTCCGTGTTTTAAATATTTCATTAACAGCTGCAGGTGTTTTCTTTTTTAATCCCAAAAAAATGTAAACTATTCAAGTTAAAAGTTCAGGTCTTGAAGTTTTTATATGTATTTTATGCTTTTATGAGTGCACTTTCAAATAGTGCTTAAAACTCAAAAAAAAAAAAATTGGCATTTACTTTGTATCACGTCCTTGTAACCATTCGCTTTAGCCATTTTAACGCGTTATTTGGATCAGTTTGTGGTATATACTGTACCTTTTTTTCTCTTGCCATAGCTCCAATATCAAGCTACAAATTTTTCTTTAACTTCTGTTTTTTAAGAAGATTGAGCAATCAGTTTGTCTTTTTGATAGTAAACAATCAGAAAATACTAGAGCCATTTTCAGAGGAAACATAGTACCTTTTGTGGAGGTACAGTGTTGCTTTTTAATGGCAACCTTGTTTCTAAATCCTAATTGAATGGTAGCGCCCGCAGTTCCCAGGTAGGCTAGATCAGGATGGCACTTGCTTACAGTGTTAATTACTCTGTCTTCTTAATAAATACAGTGCCAAGTAATAAAGGTGTGAAGCTTAATATGAAAAATGTTAGGACAAGGGAAGACTGATTGCAGTATGTTTGCACTTTAAATATTTTCTTCTTTATATCCTGTTAGATTGCTGCACTGAGAAAAAATAAAATATGTAGTTGCACGTCATCTTTGTCAGCACTCCTTGAGAAGGGATTTGATCTGTGAAAATGAAGTAGCTATTTAACAAATTCCATTTTCTGTATTTGTTGTTGTTCTACATACTGTTGTCCTTTCTTTTTCATTTATTTAAATTTAAAGCTAATGAGACAGGCTGGATTGAGAGGACTGGATCTGGTATTTCCACTCTGTGGAAGGTAGCTGGGAGGAAGAGATTTTATTTTCTATTAATAATTCTAAGACTTTTAGCCATAAAAAATGGAAGAATACTAATAATATTTTCCTGACCATATGCTCCTGTTTTACTTACTTTTTAAAATGTAAGAAGAAAGGAGATGTGCTTAAATGCAAAAGGTAACAACAAAACTGAAGGAAATATCTTTTCTGTTTTATGTAATGAACTTAAGAAATCTATATCCAGAATTTTCTTTCAAGGGTAGTAGTTCAGACTAAGGTTTTTAAAAAAATGTTTGCTACCTGAACCTTCACTCATCTTAGTTAAGTCTGTGAAAAACCCTACAGATATATGTATTTGAGACTGAAGTATTATATGTGAAGCTTAATGATTTAAGTTGTGTTGTTTCTGTTTTTCACTGGTACACTGGAGGAAAACTTGGCTAATGGTGAGAGGAAAAACGTTTGATTTATGCTTGTAAAGATATAAACCAAGATGTAATTAATTATTCCTCCTTAGTGGCATGGGCTCAGCTCCACCTGGAATCACATCTGTATTTCTTTGCCAAAAAGATATTGATCCAACTGGAAGAAATTCAGTGGACAGTTACAAAAAATGATCAGGGCTTGAATAGGTTGATTTATGAATAAAGCTTAGAAGAATTTTAAATATATGGTTTGCCTCCAGATAACTGTGATTGTGGAAGAGGAAAATACTAAATTGCATATAAACAGGTCCTCACTCTGAAAGTATTAGGTGAAGTACCCCAGAGAAAGCAATAGATGCTTACCACTTAGTTCTTTTCACATAGGTTAGAAAATGTGCAATCTGGAATTCTCCTCCACTGGTAAGGAAGAAGGGCTAAAATAACTGCAAGTCTCTTCCTTCCTTTGCTTTTGCGACTCTTCACTTTATGCTTTTAAGATTTCCCATAAAATACTTCCTAATAGAGAAGTTGCCAGCCTGTAGTTTGTTTATTGGTGGTAGTCACAGGGCTGGTTCGAAGTAGTACATGATGGCAACACGTGGTATCCTGTGTGAAGGTATTTTTCTAGGCAGCTGAGCCAGCAGCTCCGTGTGGGCACTTAGTGGTGTTCGGCTCCTGTTTCACTGGAGTGACTTTTCCTGTGGCATGATGGGTGGTGGGTGATGTCCCAGCTCAGCCACACACCTGTGCTGCTGGTGGGGCAGGGACTGAGCACAGGAAAGGCAGCATTGTGTCCTTGTGTGCAAGGGGAAGACACAGTGCACAGATGAAAGTATGTGCTGCATTTCTTCGTGCTACACAATTTTGTGAAGCCTTGGGCTTGTGTGCTAAAGCTTAAAATTCAGAAAAACAAACTGCGTCTCATCTATAGCGGATGTTCTGGTTTCCCCTTGCTCCCTGCTGTGTTGATTTGCCATGTCCTGCTAAAGGTCACATCACTGGGAAAATTATTGGAAACTATTAAATCCAATAGCACTCGCTATAAAAAAAGAAAATAACTTAAACACTGATTTGTCAGCAGACAGTACTACCATCACCTGTGCACACCCGACTTCACTGGTGGTTGAGAAGCCACAGCCAAGTGCGTGGACTGCATCTTAAGTTTAGTAATGGCAGTAGGAGTTGTATTGTACTGTGACTGCCTGAATTTTAGTTTAAATTGAAAAAGCTTTAAGGTTTAAAGTATTTAACTTCAGAAGTACTGACAAAGCTTTTTTTTTTTTTTTTTGCTTGGATTTAGAAAACAAAATCTATAAAAGTCCTGCAGGCACCAGTATCCAAAGCTCTTATGGAAAAGACTCTTTAAAGTAATCAGGAGGGCTGGCAAACAACAAACTTATATGTTTAGCCATAGGCTCTTAAACCACTTGAACATCTTTCCCCTTTGCAAATGTTGGCTTGCTTGTTGCCTCTACCAGCACTTCTGGCAGCTACGTTTTGTTTATTCATTCTCCCTCCTGCCATTTTTTCTTCTTCTCTGAGCCTTCTCCAACTTAGGAAGTTTTAATTTTTTACCCTGTAATCTTCTTGGAAACTGTCAGAGGAAAACTGCAAGTGCCAAAGCAGCAGTATTGGAAGTGAAAATGAGGTCAACTGCTTTTTTTTCTTTTTCTTTTTTTTTTTTTTTTACACATGGAACTTGCTAGTGTTCCTCTGAGACAGGATGACTTTAATTTCTGTGAAGCTTTCCTGCACCTCCGAGTATTTTTTCTAAAGGAATATTTTAAAACATAAAATAGTCAAAATGTGGAGGCTGTTATGTACCTTCTAACTCCTTGTACACACACTAGGAGCTGCAGCATATTAATGCTTCTCTCTATGCCAAAAATGGGTCTATATTTTTAGATAGTTCAGCTTAAGCTTCTCAAGAAAGAGGAGAAAAACATGTAAGATCTTTTGTCTGTATATTGCTTGCTGATTTATAAATATGAGTGAATATGATTCATCTAACTAGGCTAATAATGACAAGTTCATGCATTATGTATATTTACTTTTGTTGCAAATAAAATAGGAGCATAGGGAATACAATAGACTGATAGTAATGTACAGGTGATAGCACACAGAAGGATTTATTTTGAATAGGCAAACATTCTCCAAACTTTTAAAAAGAATGTAGAGTTTTTTCTCCCATTCTTTTTTCTTAAAATTACTTTAGGCTTCAGGCCTCATGACTTGAAATTCTAGAAAACATAACTGTTTTGGAGGCTGATTGATGTTTACATCACTGTGACTGGGGTGATACTTAAGGGTCTGATATTTTTTCTTACTGAAGAAAAAAAGTTGTCTTGAGTTCTGCTGTTGTGAAATACTTTGTTCTTCCTTTTTGTCTGTTTACTGAATTTGAAGAATAATTAAATGGAGGCTGTGAAAGTATTGATCCTTAGATTAGACATTTGACTGCATCATACTCATTAAATAGAATAACAAAGTGGGAAGCTGCATGGGATTATATCTTAAAAGGGACCTCTTCTGCTTCTCCACCTGAATAGCCATTCTGGATGTGCAACTTCTTCTAGAAATTTGTTGTTTTTTTACCTAGGTTTTGTGTAGTTTCAACCTTTTCACTTATCTCCTGTTTCTACAACATATAATTTTATTACCTTTGAGAATGGTTACGTTGATATGCACATGTTGTAGTACTGCTGAGAACTTAAGAGGTGGATGGTTCCCAGCACTGCCAGCTAAGCATGTGTAGATGTTGCTCATTCAGTTTTTGTAGGAAGTATTTAAAAAAAACAAACAACATGGAGTTGAAATGTAACTTGTTAATTCTGAAGGGTTATGGCTGAGTCCTGCAGCTTGTTGGGGAGGAGGAAATGTAGAGTGGAGGAGTGGAAATGTGATTTGTGTTAAGAGTTCAAAAGACCAGATATTCTGTGTTTCTTTAGCCTCCCCATGCAGAGCCAATGCATGTAACCTTTACAATTGAGGAAGGTTTGTTTTCTCTTCCATTGCTGGCTGAAATTTCAAGCAAATGCAGTAAGGTGGTTTCTTTGGGGAGGAAGAGTGGAGGCTTGGGACCTTTGCTTGTTTGTTTTAATAGCAGCTGGTGAGTACCAAGGGGGATGGGACCCCTGAGTCTGTTCTACTGAGGCCACCAAGTAACTACAGGGTGATAATATTTTGTATTTTTCAATTCTGGGGAGACTAATAATTGCAAATATTTTTTTCTTGACGTTTGTGTTAGTATCCTTTCTTTTCTGGATGGGTTGCGCTAAAAGGGACTTGGATGTCCCTGACATTATTCCTGAAGAAATACAAGCATTTATTGCTACATGATGCAAAGTTCTTTCTGTAATTTGAACATATGAAATGCATCTTCATATATGGATTTCAGTGCTTCTTGAAAAAAGTCACATTTTAAAAGAACAGGTTACAATGCCAAAAAAAGAAACTCATCAAAGGGCAACCTTCACCAAACTGCTGCAAAAGTTATTCTGATTTTTCGTCCCATCATATTGTTCTGAAGTAGTCTGGGCTTTGCTTTTCAGAGCGATCCATTTGAATTGTTATGGTTTAAACTTTCTGACTAGACATTATGGTCCATACCTTGAATGTTTCCCCTGAATCATAAAGCAGTGGACGTGCAGTCTTTCTTTTCCTGGCTGTCTTATTCCTACAGTCTTTCTTCACTGTTTTTCCTTATGAAAATATTATCCTACAGATACTTACTTAAAACCATGATTATTTTACTGTCTTCATTTATGTCTTCATTTGAAATGATTTTTGTCTTCTTGAAGTACTTGTTTTCTCTTGAATTATACTAAACTTACATACTGAAGACCTCATAAAATCCTTATTTCAAAGTTCACATGAGATAAATAAGGCAGATGTATTACTTTTTAGAAACACATGGAAAATATTGGAATAGTGGCTTTTTTACAGGCCAGTATTCTTTTGTCTTTATAACTTCTGTCAGAATAAAATACCAGGTATTGGGAGAGTAGCAGATACATTTATGGAATAGGTCTGAAGAGACTGGAAAGTAAACAAGGTTAATTTAAAATACGTTCATGAACTTAAAATTATTAGTGCTGAAAAATGGTATGATTGTTTTCACATAATTTAAACAGTGAAATCAGGCAATGTAAAAATTAGTGGTCTTATTTTGCAGTCACTGTTGGATGAGATATTTATAATCAGCAGTAATTCTGGAAGTTTCCTGCTGGCTTGGGTTATAATGTTTCCACAGTAAGTTTAATTAACTCATGTTGCTTCCATTTTTGATTACTGGCTGTGCTGTTATACATCAGGGATAGGGAAATAATATGTACGATTTCCTTGTGAAACTTTCTGAAATGTGTGTATTAAGACAGTTTATGTTCTGTGTCTAAATGTATTAAATGATTTGGTGTAATTTTCTTGTTACAGATTCAGAATATGAACAACATAATCACTTTTCCATTGGACAGTTTGCTGAAGGGAGATCTGAAAGGAGTAAAAGGGGTATGTTGATCTTCCTGTTTATATGTAAGATTGTTGTTGGTGCGATGGATACATTTAGCTAGTGTATTAATCTTATGTGATGGAAGGCATGGGATATTAAAGTAACCTATTAGCTTAATAAACAAGGCTTCAGGGTTTTTGTTTGGGTTTTGTGTGTGTGTATGTGAATTGAGTCATCCTTTCAGTTTGTGGTTTTGCCTACCACATGTTCTTGACTATGTACACAAAGCAATATTTGAGAAGCTTTAAAAACAGGCCTGAGATACAGAAGATAAGCAGAGAAAGAGGTGTAAGATTTAGAAGCTTAGCTGAGGAGTGGGTAGTACTATATTTAAAAGGATTAGTAGTAGTATGTTTATTTAGCATTCTAAACTTACCTGTAACTATATGGATTTTTAAGAAAGACACATTAGACTGTATAAGCATAGGATTTTTCTTAATGAAGCTGAAATCTGTTTGTGCCCTGAGGACATTTCCTATTTGAAATAACAATAACTTAAGACTCAAATGATGATATGTTTGTAATAAATTTCAGAACCTATAGCCAACAAACTTATTTGGCTTATGCTTTGTTTACTGGTGAGCAAACAGGAAGCGACTGGCAGCTATTGTTCTAGGACACTGAAGGAAGGGAAAAATATGTACATAAACTAAAAATGTTTCTGTAAATTACTGGAGCTTAAATAGATTATTTAGTCAGATAGGCTTGTTATCTTTGTATTGTTTGCTTACCACATTTCACTCCTCTTGTTCTTTGCTTTTTCTATGTCAGAATAAATACATCTATTACAATACAGTGTTGCCCCACTGACTTGAGAATGTAATGAAATGCTGCTTTAGTTATTTTAATAATTGTCAAAATAACTAGCTGACATGTTAGAATTAGTTCCTAATCTGTAATTGAAAAGTTTTTCTAGTGTCTGACAGTTAACAGTATTTTTTTGTAGTTGTCTGATCTCTTGAACTTCAGCAGAATTTCAGCCGTTCCATTTTTAGATGTCAGTGAAATAACTTTACAACTTGTTAAGATCATTTTATACAAATTACCTTCTCCAGAGGGAAGAAAATCAGGGAATTTGGAACATAAGTAATTTAAAATTCTCATGGAATTAGTTGTGTTGAGCCGTATGGCCTATACTGGTCCCATTAAGTCAATGGGAAATTGATTTCTTAAACTTGAGTGGGATGAATCAAGTCCTTAGCCAAGACTATGCTGCAGCCTCGGGATAGGTGCTTCTTTCCAGTAGAGCCAGAGATTGATGAGAAAATAGCTGCTTGGATTAATTGCATAATATGCTCTTGGGATACCATGTTTTACCTTTTAAGGAGTAAAATGGAGCTGTAAAAAACATAGCAAAAAACATCCTAGAGATGCTTTTAAAAATATGCATGTATTAATGCTCTTTACAAGATTGTTTTCCTATGTGCAAGATTGCTTTTGCACAACCCTTAGGTGAACCATTCAAGAAGGAGTGAAGTCCCTTATTCTAGTAGGCACTGCAAGTGGCCAAGGTGTGTGTTCATTGTTAGAGCCACAGTATTTTTCATTTAAATAACTGGCTGTATTTTTTTCTTTTTTTTTTTTTTTTGGACAGGACCTGAAAAAACCCTTTGATAAAGCTTGGAAGGACTATGAAACGAAAGTGTATGTATCTTTTAAACTTTTATTTAAAAGGGAAGTGTAACTGAAATCTGTAAAGGTCAGGTGTTTTGTGTACCAGAAGTGGATGTACACCTATCTGAGGCTTGTAAGTTGTCTCTTATGTCATGTGTCTAGCCCAGCTTACCATAAGCCACTTGTTTGAAGGTACCTGATACACTGTATAAACAGCTATAAAATGAGTTTATAAATAACTGAATTGAGTCAATAAAGCTCAACACCTAATATCAAACACAATTGATTCTGGTACCTTGTAAATCTTAAGTGGTTCAGTGCCCTACATCAGGAACAGTTGTTTCCTGGGTTGGCTGGGTCAATTGTGTCAGCACAGCTGATGGCCTCTGAAATAGAATTTTGTAGTGAGTTTTATTCTGCATTACACTTTTACCTGGATTGTGACTATCAGTTAAATTTTTGTGTCACATGTCCAGTATCTTTATTCTGAAATAATGCTGCATGTATCAGGCCTTTTCTGATGATACAGGTTGAGAAGAATCACATCTGATGACACTGTTTAACATAAATAGCTTGCAGATCCACAGCCAGCTGGACTGGCTGAGTATCTGGCACCATTTATATTTTTTTTTTTCAGTTGCACAAAGTTATAATGATCCTCTGGTGCCCACTGAATTAGTCCATCTGAAGTCTTCAAAAATTATTCCTGCCTAGCTGTAGCTGGATTTTATAACAAGACATTTTGAAACACTGAGATAAACCTCCAGTCTGACCGTTGGAATCCTTGGAAGATTGTGATGGCTCCAGTGTTTCATGTTCTTGATACCAGTGAGCAATCTCATTTGGTGCCATACTAGTTATTGACTGTTGAAGTAATTAACATTTCTAATCATTGTCCATGTCAGTAGTTGGTCTCTGAGGACAGGCCATAAGGAATAGTCGTACAATGTAGCCTGCTGTTGTCTACCAGTACTTGGTTGTTGGATCTGAAAGCTTGTTTACTTGTGTATAACTATTCTAGTGACATCCCACAAAGTTTATGTGCAGAATTTAAAATAAATCTGCTTGCTGCTGGGACATACACCAAGAGCCCTGTTACTACTGGACCTGTCATGTCTGGTGCTTTTAGGATTTCTGATATAATATTCACTAGGGTGTGCTGAAGTGATGTAAAGATCTGTACTTGATCCACAGTTTGCTCAGAGCTGGTAGCCTGTTTCAGAATCAGGTACTCCAGAAATATTTTCAGTTGATATTTAATTTAGTCAAGTACTTGAAAATTAAAAAATCCTCTTAGAAAATGTATATTTAGAATCTGTATATTTGGGGATTCTCATTTTAGGTTATGAACATGTTGGAATGTTGCTGCTTATGCTGTGTCATTCAGGACCTAAAAATGTGATGTTGTGTTTTCTGTCTGTGGGATCGAATCCATTGCTGCTTGCATGATATAATGAGATTTTTTTGTTTTAACCAGCAGTTCTCTAGAAAGCTTGTTTTATGACTTTGCTTTCAAGTAAAAGACGCTTGTGTTTTGATCTGAAACACGTTTCTTTTTCCACTGTAAGAATATACTTCTTTTCAAGTTACTTCTGTAGTTTCTGCAAAATCTTAACAAATGAAACAGACGTCCTTGACAATGCTCATTTCTAAGTTATTTACATGTCAGGTTATTCTACATGCAAAAACTCAAGGTAGCACATGTTAATCAGGAAATTCTTTCAGATCCATGAACCATTTCTTTTGATATGTCTGAGTGGTGGGCTGGTACAATTGCTGAGTGGTCTATTTTATTTTTTTTTAAGTGGTTAGATGAAAGCTCCACATCAATATTGCAGAGTTTAAAGCTGCTAGTCCAGCCTGTTGAACTCCTTGACTTTGATGAAGACCAAAGAATTGTCTGCTTGAGGCTTGGGATAGGGAGCCTGGGAATTCTGTGTTCAAGAAAATTCTTTAAAACAGTGGGCTGCTTTTTCTGCCTTTTTTTTGTGTCTGGGGTTGTTTTACAACAGCAGAAGTTACTTAAGGTTGGCAGTCAGGGAATACTGTTTTTCACTGCAAGCTGTGTTGCTTGTGCCAAGGAGCAGACCAATTTTCCATGGTTTTGTTGAGTTAAATTCAGTAGGATTGTGTGATTTGTCAGACCTCTTGTGCATAGGATCACTTCTCAGATAAGTTGAGATGTCACCAGCTGTCATTATTGAGCACTGGTCTTTACAAGTCAGAGATGGGAAGTTTAATGATGTGATTTTTGAAACTAGGATGAGAATATTAATTTGACCTTGTTCAGGTCAACTTTTATCACATACTAAATTTTGGACGTAGGAGTACAATGAGGTTTCTCTGGGTTGCTATTATATATGCTGCTGAGGTTTCTTGAGAATGTAACTGTCTTCGTTCTGTGGCTGTTCCAAGTGGATCTGAACTTCCTTACAGCTGTGCATTTTGGTCATCTGTAACAGTAGGTGGATGCAGAGTTATTTTAAGAATTCTTTAGTGCATATTTTGATGTTTTTGTTGTTGTATTTTGATGGTCTGTGTTTTAACAAAAAGGACTGGTAGAGGTAACCTCAGTCTCACCTATGGCTTGGGTTGCCAGAGCGGAATGGTGGATGTAGTTGCTGATAGCCAGTGGTTTGTTCAGCCTTCTTCAGTCTGTTACTTTAGATGACTCCTTGTTTGGATTGTGCCAAAAACCAGTCCTAGATTTGTTCTTAGCTAGCTGTCTTTTCCAGTGATTCTTCTTCAAATATGTGAATAACTCTTTATTCTTTTTTTTTCCTCTTTATTCTTCTCTCTTTTCCCTTTGGGTTAACAAACCATTCAAGGCTACTAGGCTGCTCTTTTTCTGCACATCCCTCTGTATCATATGCTTAACATCATATCGTTCATCTGCATTTCCTACTCAAAAGTACAGACCTGTGAAGCTATGTGCCAAATAGCAAAGTGGTATTTTTGTAGTCTGTGGGGAAGTGACAGTCTTCATCCTGATTGCTGTCTTTATAAAGAAGAATTAGAGCTTATTTGTCACACTGGCTCATCTCACTTACTTGCATCTCTGTGATGACCTCTCAAATGCAAATACACCCAAGTGTGACCTATTTGAAAAGAAGCAAATTTAATTAAAAAATGGCATCTGTTTTGCTTCATCTGCATAACGACTTCTAAGCTGCTACTTCAAACTCGGTATGTAATTAAGTGTACTTAAAATTACTATATATTTAATTCTTGTTTGGGAGAGGGATGTTAAGATCCATTCTTATGCTCTTGGATCACCATTCACCATTGTTAATTATTATGCAATAATAATCTTCTTTGCCCTGTAGCCACCTCACTTCTCAGACTGTTTTCCTGAGGATCACCTTAGCTGAAGTAACTGAGGGAGACTGGATCCATTTTTCGTTATTCCCTGGGGCTGCTCTTGAATAAGGGAGTGTGAGGAGCAAGTAACCTATAGCTTCATGTAAGCCTACCTCAGGCAAAAATTGGGACTATCCTCAGGTAACATTAATGAATAATTCATCTCACCATCAGTCATTAACACGATTCAGTTGGAGCCATAAAGATTTAAAAATGTTTTTAAAGCTTTAAAGCAGTGCATTTCTCTTGGGACCTCAGTTACAGCCATTGTTTCCCACACAAGAGCTGGGAGATGCTGCCGGCCACAGCAGCGGCACAGCGGGACTGGGCTGTGTCCCCCGGGGAGAGTTGTTGCAGACTGGGCTCTTCTTGCTACGAGGCAGTTGCTGTCCCACATGTACTGAAACACTAATGGCAGACGTGCCAGGGGAGCGTACGGGGAAGGAGTACACATGTCCTAAAAACTGCTCATTCTCCCAGCAGACAGATCAGAGTCAGGAAGGCGCTGAGCCAGATTTCACCCACGTGCTTCAGTTTAATCAGTCCTGCTGGGGTAGATTCTGAGGTAAAGACTTTGTATCAATTTTGCGGGGAAATCAAAGCAGAAACTTACTGAAGGATACTATTTACTGATTTTTTAGCTGAATATGTCTGTATTCCAGACACAAACCTGACTTTCCTGAAAAGAAAGAAATGTTATTTTTTTTAAAATAAATATCTATGTTGGGGCCTGTAAATATATATTATCTTCAGAAGTCCTCTTTAATAAGTGTTGTGCTAATGCTGTGAAATGTAAAGGTTTAATGAAAACTAATAAGCTATTCCTGGGAAGGCTGGCTGCCTCTCCTCCTTTGCCATTCTCCTTTTAAAAACTGGGCATGCCTGAAGAGAACAAGTTGTTTAAATGTGCTTATGGCATTATAAGATGAAGGCAGTAGCATTACATTACTGTGAAGAAATACAGGTGCTCGTATCTAGATATAACTCTGTTGTTAGTGGTTTGTTTGTGACTCATTTGAAGTCAATGGAAAAATGAGCAAAGTCTAAATACAGTCTTCTGTAAAGATGTCTCTACAGCTACTTGTTTAAATGATGATGTTTCCAGTTTGGTAAACTCATGTTGTAAACAATATTAAAAAAAAGCTTTTATCAAATTACTTCTTCAGAACTCTAACTTGACTCAGTATATCATTGATATTCGTAGACAGTAGATATTTCTGTCACATTTCCTTTTAAAGCAACTGCATAAGACAAAATGGGAGTCACAGCTTGAAAACAGTGACATAGAATGAAAATGCTAAGCAAGGTAGCTTTAATATAGAATCACAGAATAGAATAATACAATCATTTAAGTTGGGAAATACTTTAAGATCATCAAGTTCAGCCATAAACCTAACACTGCTAAGTCTACTGCTAAACCATGTTCCTACGTGCTGTATCTACACATCTCCTAAATACCTCCAAGGATGGTGACTCAAGTACTCCCCTGGGCAGCCTGTTCCAATGCTTGACAACCCTTTCTGGGAGAAATTTTTTCTAATATCCAATCTAAACCTCCCCTGGCTCAACTTGAGGCTCTTTGCTCTTGTTCTATTGCTTGTTACCTGGGAGAAGAGACTGACCTCCACCTCATTACAACCTCCTTTCAGGTAGTTCTACAAAGTGATAAGGTCTCCCCTGAGCCTCCTTTTCTCCAGGCTAAACAATCCCAGGTCCCTCAGCTATTCCTCATCAGACCTGTGTTCCAGACCCTTCACCAGCTCCATTGCCCTTCTCTGGACACGCTCCAGCACCTCAGTGTCTTTCTTGTAATGAGGGACCCAGAACTGAGCCCAGTACTTGAGGTGGGCCTTCACCAGTTCTGAGTACAGGAGGACAACCACTGCCCTGGTCCTGCTGGCCACACTATTGCTGATACAGGCCAGGATACCATTGGCCTTCTTGGCCACCTGGGCACACTGCTGGCTCACGTTCAGCTGCTGTCAACCAGCACCCCCACGTCCTTTTCCAGTGAGCAACTTTCCAGCCGGTCTTTCCCCAGCCTGTAATGCTGCCTGGGGTTGTTGTGACCCAAGTGCAGGACTCAGCCCTTTGCCTTATTGAATTTGATACCATTGGCCTTGGCCCATCAATCCAGGCTGTCCAGATCCCTCTGCAGAGCCTTCCTACACTCCAGCAGACCCACACTCCCACCCAACTTAGTGTTCTCTGAAAACTTAGTGAGAGTGAACTCGGTCCCCTTGTCCAGATGACTGAGTAAATATATTAAATGGGGCTGGCCCCAGTACTGAGCCCTGGGGAAAACCACTAGTGACCAGGCATCAGCTGGAGCAGCTCCCTTCACCAGCACTCCTTGGGCCCAGCCATCCAGCCAGTTTTTCTACCCAGTGAACAGTGTATCCATCCAAGCAGTGAGCAGGCAGTTTCTCCAGAATGCTGTGGGAAATGGTGTCAAAATCTTTACTGAAGTCCAGGTAAACCACATTCATGTGATACTGTTTCAGCCTGAGATTTCATATTAATTATTTTTATTTTGAAGGAGATTACCTGCAAATTAAATGGAAGAGTCTTTGAATGAATCTGCAGATGTTATGGATGAAATGCTGGAAAGATTTGAGCCCATTTTGCTCATTATGCCCTCTTCTCCCCCATTATTCAAAGCAGGATGAGTGAAAGCGAAAAGCTTTCCTGCATCTCCAAAAGGAAAAGATGGCTTCTCCATTGAGGACTTGAGAGATAGGAGAGACATGCTTTGTTGTCAGCATTGACAGGCAGTAGGATAAAATAAAATAGAGGCTCTTTCACCGAAAGGCTGGAATGCCAGAGCCTGGAGAGTCAGGCTGAAAAGGAAGACTAAACAAAGAAAGGATATTTGACATTAAAATGTCTAATATTATTTTGTCAAACAAAATAGCCTTCAGAAGCACTCCATTATCCAGAGTGCTCCCAATTCAAATGTGTTCCTTCCAGGTGCTGTTCCCAGACTCTGCAGCTTCTACCCAGACTCAGCCTGGCTTACTGCTGTAGGGAGAAGGAGAGGAAGAGCAAGAGTTGCTTCCCATCCAGCCAGTTCACTACTACTGTGTGTGCACAGGGTGCTCTGGTTGTTTACCCTTATTGACTGGCTGAAAATAAATACCAGTATTTGGTATTTATTTACACGATGATCTGTATGGCAAAATTGATTTATTTGAAATGCAAATTATAATTTATATTGAAAAACAATTGCTTTTCAATTTAGAGCTGTAAAAATAGTCTTACATTGGAAACTGAATGGGTGAGACCATTCACTTTGTTTGACTTTTCTGTTGTTCTTCATCCTGTGTTTCAGCCTTGCTTGTCTGCTACACACATCTGAGCTCACTGTGTATTAGTTATGTGCAGCTGCATTGTAAATGGACTAATGTGTGCTCAGAGTCAGCAAAGTCTATGTGATACATGTGTTATGTGCTGCACGAGCTTCAAGAACAGCAGCATAACAAAACATTTGCTGCTTTCCTACTGCTTCTGGAGTATTTTTTAGAGTTTTCACAGTTTTCTTATTAATTTTGCGTAATTGATCTACCTGGAAAACCTTAATACCTTGCAATATTTGAAATTCCACAGTGTTATGTCACTGAACTGTCTTTGACAGTTCTGGCAACAGGATTTGGTTAATGTCACAATAGAACGATACTTGAAGCTGAATTGATCCTTGCATTTGGATGGGAAACCCAGCCAAACTTTTGCACTCAGAAGATTTGCATGCAACACTGCTGTATGGAATTTCTTTGTTTCCCTAGAAACAAAGTGTCCTGTGGTATCAGTCAGATAGGAGGTAGCATATTACTGTAACAAAATAGCAGGATAAATTTTGGATTGCAAAGTTGAGGATGTAGTTAGAGATTAAAAGCACAAATAATAAGGAAATGCAAATGTGAAACGCATTGTCATGTGTCTCTGGTATTTGGGCTTTTGGGTATTGGGCATTGGGGCTTTTGGTAAAGCATCTTTTTGAGGTTTTGAAGCAATATAGCCTGAAGCTCCAACAAATGGGTTCAAGGATGTCTTTCTCTGAATTACTTGGTAGAGGCTGGTATGCTTTCATCTTGGTTTAACTATTTTTTTACCTGTGGAATATGATTTATTCTTTAAAGAGTAGAAAAGACTCTTTCACCAAAATCTAGCTTTCTTTACGGGGAATACAATGCATGCTGTGATATTGTGCATAATGTTTGACTTTTTGGCGGTATGAACTGTCCTTTGGTTTAACTAGCATTTAGAGACACTTTATGACATGCTAGTAAGCTCATATGATTTTGGAGATGGCTTTGTCATCCTGTGTTCGAGTATTGTTCTGTGTAAACAATGAAAATACCATACAGTAGCAATTGATAGTTATTAGCCTTCACATACATTTCAGAGAATTCTCTGACCTCAAGAATTGTTAAGTTATATGTGGAAATTGAGAGACCTGAAACATCCTGGATCTTTGCTCTGCGGTTTGACTGTTTTAGAACAATCAAAAATGATATAATGTAAACTCTCCTAGAGTGTGTGCTAGAAGGGAACTGCATGTTTGTCATTTTCTGTTAGTCTTTTTTGCAGTGGTTTATCTTCCTTGTTCAGGTTTGGTTAATTCTTGTGTTTGGACTTTTCTGTGCCTACAAAATGACGTAATTGGCAGTAAGAGTACAGACTTATTTTTCATGAAAACAGAACAGTGTGGAATTGAGGTTTTATTCAGGTGATTGGAGTTTTTCAGAATATTTATTTCAAAGGAGAATAGCTTCTCTCTAAACATGTGCTTCTGGCAAGATGTGATGGGCTGAGGAGGAGTGCAGTGCTGGCTGGATGTGCTGGCTGCTGGAATATTGCACAGGGATGGCTCTGCTGTGCCTGCCAGTGGTGAGAGCGCAGTGGGGCTTTTCAAATTGCTGCTCGAAATGTTTCCCAGTGGGTATGTTATGGGGTGGGATTAATGGGATTAATTCCTGTTTTTCCTTGCTGCTCGAGGTGTAATAGGAGGCAGTTCCTCATTCTTGAGAAGTGTAAGTTCAGAATACTTTGTTGACTGGAAGTCCTTAGACTATCTAGGACATTTTCCCATAAGTGGTTAGGGTAATGTTAACATCAGGTTAAGAGAGTACTTGAGACATGTCATCTTTTTAGAGGGAGAACTGAGAGACACTTGACTACCCAAGAGGAGGTAGGACAGTTGTGTGTGTTATTTGTTCCTCTGATCTCCTTCCTGTATTCCTGTGTAATGCTTCCTCTTGTTCACAAGCAGTATAGCATTTCCTCAGGAAGCTTTTTTTGAATTTTCAAATTCTAAACAGTATGAGTGGCAAACTAATAGTCTTTCTCCAAAAAGCAAACACCCTCATGTATTTTCTTATTATCTTTTTGTTCCATATCAAACTTGTCTAACTAGATTGTCTAATTATGCTACTGCCTTTAGGAACAATACGGAGAATAGCTGTTACAAATGCACAAGTGTGTTTGTGGGAGTATGGCAGGCACTGGTTATCCATTTATATTCTACAGGAGAACCTGCTTCATTCAGAGCTCTTGGAAAATGTTCATGGAAACTTTTAGGGAATTAGGACAGCTGGTCTAGCAGACTTTGAAGTCTGCAACACAGCCGGCTGGCCGGCATTCCCAGTGCCAACTGGCTCAGCAGCAAGTAGAGACAGCAACTGTGATTTTGGCTTAGGAAACCCTGTATATATAGAAGATGACTTGATGACAGGCAAGACTCAATAAATCTGGTGACATAATTGAACTCTGTTAACCAGTGTTTGCTCTGTTGGGATTAAACAACACCCTGTGTTATCAATTAAAACTCATTATTTTTTTCTGTATCTCCTTTCTTCAGAGTAAGAATTTAGTATCTTCTCATTTAGTGTCTTCCTTTGGAATATCTGTCAGAACATTATTTTAAGAGATGATTGAATTAGATTTCAGCTACTGTATGTCATTGCCGATCTTTAGTCATTGTCAAATTTCAAATGAAATGTCATCTGGAAGTAAGTCATATGCAAAGCTACAGGAGTTTGGCTCTGCATCTGTCAGGAGACTTTGTGAATAATCAGATTTCCTGAGAGGCTGTGGGTTTCTCACTTCATTGACTGATGCTTTTTGCCTTATAGTACAAAAATAGAGAAGGAGAAAAAAGAGCATGCTAAGCTACATGGAATGATCCGTACAGAAATAAGTGGAGCTGAAATTGCAGAAGAGATGGAGAAAGAAAGAAGGTTCTTCCAGTTACAAATGTGTGAGGTAAGATGCAACATGAAATTCATATTGTTCTGCTGCTGTTTTTAGGAAAGATTTGAAAAACGCAATTGTTTAATGGCAGTTGTGACACTAAAGGGAAATGCCAAGTTATTAGTGGCCTCCATTTGTGAAAACACATTTTTTTAATCATCCAGATGTGCAAACTTTGGAGGGAATTTAGGTATGTTCTAATTTCACTTAACAAGTAAATTAATGCAAAGCTCAATAAAACACTAAGAGATTATAATAAATAAGCCTTTACACTACTAATTCACTGTAAGTTATTTTAAGCCCTCTATCATTCTCTGAATTGTTCCCTGTGCTGACAGCTGTTGCGTTATTATGAGGAGAGACTCTAGTCTAGCACAGTGCTGGGCTGGTGCAGAGAAAAACTGCTAAGGATGGAATCCAGTTGTCTTTCAAGATGTTTCAGAATGTTTCTATTTGGAAGTCTTTGTGATTTTGCAGTGTGTTAAATCTCATGTGAATATTTTTGGTTCGATTTGTTTAAGGACACATCTGGTTCCGTGGTTGGGAATTCAAGTTACTGTGTTCATTTTTTCTGTGCATTAACTCAAAAATATACCATGGGTGATTTTACTGTGATGAATATAGCTAATTTGACTCATATGCCAGCATAGCATAACTGCAGCTGTCCTGAATACCACTTCTAGTAACTGCATGCACTCATACCTAATAGAAAAGCTTCACATTCCTATACGGAGTCAGACTAAAGTTTTCAAAACCCCTAAAGGGATTTGAGTACCCGATAAACATATGGATGTTGTCAGCTAATTGCCCATCTGTATCCCTCCTAAGAAACAACCAGGAACAGATGCTTCTCTCTTGCTGTGTCACAGTGAAGGCGAAGTTCACGTGAGTCAGTTGTAGTGGTAATGCAGGGTGAAGTCTGTGAAATTGGATCAGGGTACCTCAAATGTAGAATAGCTAAAGTGTATCCTGTATTTCTTCTGATTTTGAAGAAAAAAAGTTTTTAGTTGGTTACCTCTGAATAGTCATAAAAGGGGACTTTTTGATAACGAAAACTATAAAATCAACAGGTACATTTTAAAAATTGTTAAAATAATCCCTCACTTTTTTTTTCAGTAAACTGGTTTCCTCCTTAATGACATCTGTTTAGCAATGAATTTAACAACTAGTGAGACACATTCTTAGATGTGCTGCTAGGTTTATGAATGGTTTTCTAAATCTACCTCACAAACACTTCCATGCTTTCTTTAATAGAGGCTTTCCCTAGGAGCCATAAAGGATGTTTTAACAATTTGAACAAATCATAGTGAAATATCCTCACAGGATATCAAAAATCGGCAGTGACAAAATTCCATTTGTGTGATTTAACCCTTGATGCCACTTTTTGATGCATTCTCTTTTAGGTCCTGTAAATCTGTAACTGTTCAAGCTTATTGAAGTATAACTGAAAATAAATGTTAAAAAAAACCACTGTAGCAGTAATAATTGATTTCTTTTGTGAATTACTGTTTTAACAGTATCTACTGAAAGTCAATGAGATCAAGATTAAAAAAGGAGTGGACTTGCTTCAGAACTTGATCAAGTACTTTCATGCTCAGTGCAAGTATGTTTTAGTTTTCTTTATATCTACACAATAACTGAAGCAATGTTTTGTTTTCAACTTCTGACATCATCATAACGCTTTTCTAGAATTTTCAAAATAAATATTAAGATTCAGCTGTTCTTGCTGATGTCTCTTGACAGATTACTTTTGTCATAGACAAGTCATTCCTTTTGTCACTATTTTCTGGAACATGTAATGAGGTTGAACTTGTTGGTTGAAAGGAGTGCCAAACAATAATTTGCCATGTTTATAAATCACTCCTGCAACAGAGCTATTTGTTTGGTCTATTACTTAGCAGTCCATTAGTTTTGATGGACTTTTTTGAGTGTATCTGGCAATGATCTAAATTAATTCTCTGCTAAAGAAAAATAAATTGCATAAGCAGTGGGTTTAAACTATATTAAAAGAATCACTCTTTTTCTAGTTAATTGGAGGACCCAGTAATAAAACATATAGTTCTCATTAGAATTATGTACTTTTTTATGATAGTCTTACAAATCAGTAATGTAGCAATGAAGTCACAGCTATAACCTTGAAAGAGCTGCTGCTAACCTGTTGAAATCAGTAAGTTTTCTTCTTCAAACACCAGTTTGCATCTATGTATTTTTTTCCCTGTGTTGCTTTTAAAATCAGTTTTACTTGTGGTATGTCACTTATCTGCTCTGTCCATTTAATAGCAATTCAACACAGCAATGCTGTGCTGTGTTGATACTTTCATGTCTGCTTCACAGAATGAAAATATTTTGTGTTGCAAACAATGCAGCAATTTTTAATCAAATATGCATGTAATTGTGGTTTCTTAAAATTTATTTTTAAAATCAGAATTACTGAGTTTTTTAAGGACTGGAATGCTGGGCATAGATAATGTTACTCTGCCAATATAAAAATACATATAATACAGTAAGATGTAGCATATTCAGTTTACATGTAGACTGTAGTTAATGCTTGGGAAACAAAGGGGATTTCCTTTAGTAGAAAGATTGCATCAGACGTGAAATTATTTGGCTTCAAGAAGTCATAATTATTTTATATCTACTAGAGCTTTTGCTGTTCTACAAATGAATCTTGCTTGTTCTGGGCCTTCACAAAATGGGATGAGAACCTGTATTTGAGGTGAGAATGAGGAAAATTTATGTGGCAGTGGATTGTGGCAGTTCTGAATCTAATTGGGGATTTTGCATGTTAGAATAAGCTATGATGGAAATAAAGAGGTGGATCAGCCAAAGATGCATTAAAAAAAGAGTTTAATGTTTTGAAGTTTATGGCATGGCATAATAATATGCATGTCTTCCTTCGGCAACTTTTTAAGCAGAAAATACAAAGTAAAGTTTAATAACAGCTTGCTTTTTGCTTTTCTTTTTAAGTTTCTTTCAGGATGGGTTAAAAGCAGTTGAAAGCCTCAAGCCTTCAATTGAGACGCTCTCGACAGATCTTTATACAGTGAGTGGCAACCTTTCACATTTGTGTTGTAAATTTAGTTTTTTTGCAGTTTTTTAGTTTTTTCTGAACATTTTGGTTCAGATTGGCTGACTGTTTTAGTAGTCAGCATTTTAAGGTTTTCAGTAGATTGTTGAGAAAAATCTTGTTCCAATATAGCATTTAGAAGCCTTAGTTTTAGTTCAAGACCCCACTGTGTAAAGTGTTAGGAAAACAGCCTTTGCTCTAAAGTGTTTACCGACTAAGTGGAAAAGAACATGTGGTTTCAAATGGAACACAAGGAAGCAAGAATATTGTGAGGCAATATCAGAGTCTTAACCCAGCAACATCCTTGCCATTATCAAGTTTTCTGAAGATATAAAGGAAAAGAAATTGATCACATTATCTTTTCTCTTTGTTTTCATTCTTGATGAACATTTTTTAGAAAAATGAACCAATTAAGCAGCAATTTTGAAAGACCTGCGTTGAAAATAGAAAATAATGTTATTTTTAACCTGTGTTTTTATTCATTCAAGATTAAACAAGCACAAGATGAAGAAAGAAGACAATTAACACAGCTTAGGGATATTTTAAAATCAGCACTCCAAGTTGATCAGAAAGAGGTGAGCATATAAGGTGGTTTAACTTTGTAATACCTATTTTGATTACTTCTAATGTAATGTTGGTATTCAAAACAGTTATTTTAACATTTATCAACCATCTAATTTCTTTTGTTCATTCATCTTTGTTTTGATGTTGATATTGAAGTGTGTGACAAAAATTTTTAAATTAATGCTCACTAAAAATACAAGACTTACTGAAAAGTAATTTCTTTGTGTTACCAGTATTGCAAAATAATTCAGATGGTGCACTGTTGCAGACTGAGAATGAAAGAACTTTGGCAGTATCAAGGAGACCCTATTCTTGAAACCTTATCTCACAATACTAATCCAAACTGTGTAAAGATTATGTGAAACTGAACTTCAAATCCCAAATCACCTCTGTCATCTGCAAAAGTAACAATTAAGTTTGCTACTCTGCTGCAAGATGCCAGGGTTCAAATGTGCAAGGGCTGGGTCAGTTTGGCAATCCAACAAATAAGTATTTTTTGAGTTTTGATTATGATTGCCATTAGATTTAATGAGTTCTAGAGTAGTTTCATTTGTGGACTCTGATCTGGAAGTAAGCATCTTTTGTATACTGTAATCCTAAATATTGGGTCTACTTTTGTTTCAGATTGCTAGTGCTTCCTCTTCATATAAATAAATGCTTGCCAGCTTCCTTTGTGTGGCTGCTGGGCCATGAGAAGTGATGAATGAGCCCCCTCCCCCTTTTCAGATTCTCTTTCTGAAGGGATCATGATGAAATAGTTTAGTCTGTAGAGCTCAGACTTCCTTGATCTTTTCCGGTCTTGCTTTGATCTTCCCATAAAAGTTACGGTGACTCCTGGCTTTTACTGGTGACAGATGATGGTTGTGAGCAATGTAAATGAGGGAAAGATGTCCCTGCCCACAGCCGGGGGTTGGACTGGATGACCTTTAAAGGTCCCTTCCAACCCAAATCCATGTGATTGTGTGACCTGCTGACAGGCATTTGGAACAGCCTGGAACGCTCTTCACTTCGAGATGCTGTTTGTTACCTTTTGAAGTTTGTGATGATGACCATTATGTACGAAGCTCCATACAGGCTACAGGCCCTTTCTTAGATTCTGCCTGGCATTCAGGGCTCACTGATTTGCCAAAAACTTCCAAATTTGAGCTCTGCAGAATTAGAGACTAGTGATCCTCATGGAAATGGTGACTGCTTTGGGTTCACCATTGACTGCCCACTTTCAATAAGAAGTCATTACTGTTTGGGGGGTGTTAGCAGGCTTCTTATTTTAATTGGGTCATTGCTCAAGGCAGATACCAGAAGCAGTTGGGTGTCGTGGTTGCTGCAAATATTGGTTCTCTGTTTACCTCTTTATCAGTGATACTGATATTAAATGTATATGGAAGCCGTGATGAGTACACATCTGTTCATAGACTCATAAATTAATAATACACATAAATTTATTATTTCTGCTGGGTTTGTGACATTTAAAAATGCAAGCATAAAAAGTACTTTGTGCTATAGCTATTATTTATTAATTCTGCAAATCTAGATATAGATGCTTACCTGCAGAGCACGAGAAATATAATTATTTTTGAAGTTTTTTTGAAAACATCAGTTAATCAGTGGGATGCCAAAGAGCTGTGATATAATTTACTGTTCAACTCACTAATATTAGTCTTGTTGCACTGTAATTTCCTTTACTATAACTGATTTCTTTTTCCTTCCTAAAATGCATTTACATTTTGTGACCGAAGTCTAGGAGAGTAAGTGTTACCATGTTTTAATGAAAATAGTTGGCATGATTTCCATTCAGATTTCAAGAAACTGGATTTTTCCTTTGAGCTCTTGTCTGTTGCCATGAAAAGACTGGTTCTTTCTTTTTTCACTTTGGTTTGTTTTATTACCAAAAAGGAAAAAAAAAAAAAGTTACCATATTCTTCTTGGGAAAGAAAATTGCTGTAAGACAAATTGGTGATTTCTGTGACGCTTTCTTTTGGAAAATTAAATCCAGTTGCTTGATTTGATGTTCTTGCAAGATTTTGAAAATATATGTACTTTTAATTAAAATGGACTTCATGTAAGAAATGATGGAATGTTGACAAATATTGTTTCTGTTGTGTTTAAAAAAAGAAAACACACAAGCACTCATAGTGAACTTTCTTTTGTTGTGCCTGTAAATGTAGTTTCTTCCTGCACAGAACTTCCTCAAACCTGGTTTGTATTGAAACTTCTTTTTGAAATGTCATTTCATGTACATCTTCGTAATTTTTAATTTTTAAACTTTCAGTTTTCAAACTATAAAGGTCTTGCAAGTTTTGGAGTCACCCTTAGAGTCGTATTGCCTAAACTGTTCTCGTTTCCGTGACCTTGGGTGAGGTCGTCTCCTGTGACTGTAGTCTTTAGATTCGCTTCTACTTCTTTGGTAGAACCTGTAATCTATTTAGGCCTCTGTAAAATATGACAAATTTTGTGTTTCTTGACAAAAATTATAGTAGCTGTGCTATAGGAGAGGCTGCCTGCAGGGGGTTCTGGTAGATATGTCTTTTAGGGGCTCTGTGGGACTGTAATAAGTAAGGGATGGATCTCTGAAACATCCTGCAAATGCCAGAGAAGTTCAGCTCCGGAAGAGCTGTAAGGACTTTTTTGGCAGCTTTATACACAGGAGTGATCTGAACAGTCTAAAAATCCTGCTCCATAGGAGCTGTGGAATGACTAGCAAAAAATTTGTGGTGTATAATTTGAAGCACCTTGTATTGGAAAGGTCTATTGTGTTCACATAGTGGGGCTGATAAATTGGATTTTGGAATATCTCTTACCAGTAGTCACAGAGAATACTGTTTTCAGATTTATTTCATTTTTAGCTATGCTGTTCAGCTCGAAGTCAGTCTGTCTTTATAACTTCAGAACAAATAATTTCCAACCTCTTTATGGTCAGGGAAGTGGTTCACTAAAAACATGCTGCAGTTAAATGACTCACCTTATTTTTTTTGTGCCTATCTGCATTTCGAAGCTGATAAAGTGGTCAAAGTTCAGTTTCTTAGGCTTGTGTACCTCAGCCTGTTCTGATCTTATTATGTTCAAGAGATATTTAAAATGACAATACTCTGTGCTAGGTATGTCCTCTATCCTGTGGTGATCCATTTCCTCCCATAGGTAATGTACATTGTTGCTGCTCCTTGGATGAGGCCATTGGGTCTGACTCTGTTATCTGTGATTTGTATCTCTGGTATGTGCAATATGCAAACCAGAAATAAGGGAAGATCCTTTGGAGAGCCTGCATATGGAAAAGGCATGCTGAAATTGTCTGGAAGGATGTTAATTGTGATGGTGATTTGTGGGATGGCATCCTGTCTGTTAGGAGATAGATCAAAATCATGCACTACTCATCAGAGAGCTGTGGAAAACCATCATCTGGCAATCACCTTGGGCATTACTGATCTGGACATGACCTGAACTGAGGATTTAAAATGGCAAATATGTTTGCCCTTAGGTTCTTTTCATTAAATAGTATTAAATTTTTTAAAGATACTGTTCATAGTAATGAATGTGTGGAAATACACGTCAGCTACAGCAGCTTCCTCTCCTGCTGAAATAAGGCAGGAAGCTTGTATTATTGGTTTGCCACTTTGGCCAAACACAGCAGCTGAGTGTAAAAAGCTGAAGGGAGGGATCTGAAATGCAGCAGAAAATAATGCACAAAAAGGAGCAGCTCAGACTTAAGTAATGGGAGCGGTGCTATGAGCAGGTGTTGGAGGTCACCTGAAATCTTTACATAATTGAGGATGGGGAGAACTGAAATTAATTTCCTCTATGGCCTCTAATCTTCCCGGAAATGGAGTTCCTTTACTGACTAATGGGAGGCAGAGATCAAGGCATTGGTAGGGCACAACTGGCAGTGTCAGATCAGATTTTCTTCAGAAGTCAGTAAATGTACACGTGCAGTGCTTCTTAATGAGAGACAGGAATTTTTTATAAATGTTGTGGCTCTACGTTGTGCAGACAGAGCGCAAAACCAAATAATTCTGTGTAAACAAACTGGAGAGGAACGATAAACAGACTGGTTTAAATCTGAAGGCATGCTTTGTCAGGCACAAACATTTAAGTAGTGGTTTTGTAGTGCCTTTAAAAGCCTCAGATGCATGTTGTAGCTACCTAATACAGCTTCCTAGATCGCTAGCTGAGAGTCAGGGAAGTGGGCACAGGTTGCTTCTGCTGAGAAGGAGCAGCAAGGAGGGTTGCAGCCTGTGTTGAGCTCAGCTCATGGTTCTCAGGACCACTGAGCTCCAGCACTGTGTTCAGGATGAACCTGAAATCCTACAGCTTGGAGGTGTGGAGTCCTCAGTGCTCTGAACAGGGGTGTAGGTGGTAGCTCTGTCCCTACCATCAGGTTTAGAATAGCTCATAGTCATGTAAGCGAGCTGCTTTGTGGGTTTTTCCCTTGCTATACTTGTATTATCTGCCTTATATAACAGAAGTGTAATTATGTCCATAAAGCAATGATAGTAGAAAAAAAAGCAATTACAGGTATTAATCATTGTTACTGTAGGCATTTAAAAGTCCATCCTGTCATGTTTCTGCTGCTAATATAGCATGACACACCAGATTCCTCATTTTTAGGTTCTTATTTTTTAAGAAGGTGGACTCTTGCAGCAGTGGGTCCTGCCTCTGGGTAGTTCTGAGAGCAGTGAGAAGGGTTTAGTTAATTCTTGTCTCTTCCAGGGCCAGAATTCTACTTTGTTCAAGATATTTTGCTTTAAATTATTCTTCTTCTGGAAATGATTTTTCAGTTTTCCTATATGACTCCTGAACTATATTACCAGGAGGTCTCTTGTACTTTTCAGACAATAACTTGACTCAGTTTCCACAAGGAAAATCACTTCTTCAGATTGATGTATGTAATTCTTTTTGTTACGATGGAAGGGTAGACTAGCAATTGCAGGTAATAATAATCTTTAATGTTTGTACCCTGTAGTGTTTGCATGAGCTGGAAAACCCACTGCTTAATTAAATTTTGAGCTAAAACCCCAATATATTAAGGCCAATAATAAATCTAAATAAAGCAAATAAAAGGATTTTGGCAGTTGCTGATAATGACTACTTATCAAATGGTTTTTGTGCCCTCTGAAGAAAGAAATGGATCTGGTTCTTTCTCATTGAGGGGGAAAAATATGCTTCATTTGGCCTGTTGGATTAGAGCAGAAGGAGAAGCTCTGAAACTCATTAATGGGGGGTTAGTTTGGTTGAAAGTGTGGAATGCATTATAAATTGCTGTTGATTATTTCAGGATTCTCAGATTCGCCAGAGTACAGCTTACAGTTTACATCAGCCTCAGGGAAACAAGGAACATGGCACTGAACGGAATGGCAGTCTGTATAAGAAAAGTGATGGGTAAGTACTGCTGGAGTCTACTGGAAAAAATATCAGGTCTTAAGAACTGAAGCACTGTCATACAAAATATATTTAAAACTGAGTTACCTTTTTTTTTCCCCCTTTAAACTAGAATCAGAAAAGTGTGGCAGAAAAGGAAGTGCTCAGTTAAAAATGGTTTTCTTACAATTTCCCATGGTACAGTAAGTATTTGTTTTCAGTATTTTATGTACATGGTTGCTAATACAAAAAGGCAAGATCTGCTGGTCTATATTTGTAATTTGGAATTAGCTAAATTCCTGATTCAGTGTTTTGAATATGAGTGATATTATTTTTTTAAGGCAACTTTTCAGAAATATATCAAGACGTACACAGCATCTAAAAATACAGCTATTCTAATGCTTATGACTATTAATGGGAAAAAAGGGCTTTTTTAGTGACTCAGTACATGTAAATGTTCATATTTTACCAGTCTATCTAAAAATACAAATTCGAACTTTTTTTTTTCCAAAGATATAATTGGGCATTAAGCCATCTTTTACATAGGAGTTAAACAACTTTTTATATTTGCCAGATAAACTGAGAGTAGATTTGCAAATAAACTGAGAGTATACTGAATCTCTTCTCTCCCCCAGATTTGCTGCTATGTTGTAGTCTGTTAGGAAGGTAGCTCCTGAGAAGTAGCTGTTGGTGAAAGCCAACTCTGAAAACAACTTCTGCCAGAATGACAGGAAATAGAGAGTTACAAGTCCCTCTCTTTTACTGCTACCAATATTTGAAACACATTAGGTATAAATATTTAAAGTTTGTTGAAATTCTAAAAATTTATACTTCCATGTTTTGGACCTTTTGCACTTGGCTCTCAACTTGATCTTGCTTTCCTGTAACTTTTTTCTTTTTATACTGTTTTCTCAAAAAATTTGAGAATCTTTCTTAAGGCAAAAAATAACTCAGTGACTATTTCCCATTCTTGCTCTAATAAACAGTCCTGTTTCTTGATCCTGTTATGAACTTTTCTGTTCTTCATCCTGTTATGCCTGTTGCTATGACTACAAGTTGACCCTGGCAGCATAAATGAATCAATCTCTCATTTGTGCATCTAACCATAAGCTGTTGCCTTCAGAATTGATAACCAGGAGTTAAGGAGGAGTGTAAAGCCAGACCTGCAAAGCAGAGTCATTGCTATGGCTTTGGAATTGTCCACCAGTTTATCCCTCTTGTCATTTGAGTGTGTATGAGTTGTCTTTGTCAGAGAAAAGTCTGTTAGTGTATTCTGTGCTGGTGGCTGTGAGTGCTGTGATTGCACCTGGTGCTGGACATGCTGTGCTGGTACCAGTCGGAGGGTAGCTGGGGCAGCTCAGAGCTGGCAGGGGCCACAGAATCCACCTGTGGAGCGGAATTTGAAAACTTTCACATGCGAGTACAGTTATTGAGTCTATCAAGATACTGCTTTCTTCTCTTTTTATAAGCTGTCTACCAGATGGTCTGACATTTTTAGAAGCAGTAAGTTCCCACTGAAAACAGTGGAGCTGTAGCTGGAAATCAGTTCGTAGAGAGTTTAATGTGAGTTCAGATATGTGAGTTTCACAGGTTTGGTCTTGATTTTCCCATATTACAACATTAAAAGAGTCCCTTCTTGTTTTAAAATATGCTCCTAAAAAGTATTTTTACTTATTTACTCACTTCCCCCTTATGTATTGATGGCAGTTTTATGTAAAAAGTTAATGAATATTTCATAGACACTGAAACGAGTAGAAGTGATTTCTGTTTATTAAGAATTTTTTTAATACCTTCTGAGAATACTGAAGGAACAACATTGATGTCCAAGCTTTCTCAGGGTTGATATCTCCTGGTCTCTGAAATATGATGTGCTGTTCTCTTGTCCCAGCAGTTCATTAAAATGAACCATCTCTCACAAATTCAGTTGACAGTTTTGTTTTCTTTATGAAATACAAATTTGTAAATGCTTTTCCCTTAAAGGCTAAGTATTCTTCATGGACTTCTCTTCTTTGGTCATGTAGCCTCTCTTTGAGGGACTATTTTTTCAGTTAGTTTCTAGAACAGCTATCCTCAGGCAGTTGCAGATGCTGTATTCTGAGTTAAACTTGCCTGCCAAGTGCTCTCCTGACTCATGGGGAGAATATGGTTGGTTCTCAGTCGCCCAGCTGTGGTCCTGAATGTACCTGCCTGCATTGCAGAAGTTGTACTTTTAGACAGCTAAAAGCTTCAAAGAAATTAGCATTCATAGAGCAACGTGCAAAGTAATGGCTGATGGAAAAACAGACACTGGTCCTTTGTGTAATTATTAGTAGTCGGAAATTTCCTGACATCTATCTGACTGCAATTTAACGTACATGGATGAAGAAACAATGACAGAAGCAGATTGAACCATGTAATTAGGAATTCCTAAGTGCTTTTCAGATCAAGAAGTCACAAGGAAGAAACTTAGATTTCAGAAATGTCAGATTCCTCAAAGTTGATTTGTGTTTAAAGAACTTAAATGAAATTTGCTGGTTGTCTGCAAAAAAAGGAATATAAAATAGCCTCATTGTTGAGGAGTCTTTCTTTGTTATTCTTTCTTTACTACTGGGAAGTTTAATCTACCATGATGGACAATCTGAAGACAAAACAATCGGATTTTTTTTTTTTCTGAAGTTAATCACTGTGATATCCAGAGAAATATGCACGATGAAATCAGCCAACCAATCTGTTAAGTGGACACGTTAGCTTGTGCCTTTTGTAAAAGTCAGCTCTGTATCATGGCACTCCTGTACTGTTTCAGATGCCTAACCTTTTGATTCCTACACTTACTGTTTGTTGCTGGAACAGATCCAGTCAGTCTTACAGGATAGGGGATTGCCATTTCTTCAGGAAGTAGCATGAGTTGATGCTTAGGTCTGTGTATGGCATGTTAAGAGCAGCACATCTTTTGAGGGTTGTTAACATGCTTGTTAACAAGGTGTCCAGAAATTCAGCAGTTTTCTGAACAGAGACTTGAGCAGGAAAACGAAGCTCAGAGGATTCAAATTAGCATAATAGCAGTTACACGTTTGTTATCATTTTCTACATCCAGTGTCTCCTAATCCTGCCAAATGTCCAGATCCACCTACAGTAGCTTCGTGTGGCTAAAGAATTTGTACAGCCTTACCTCTCTTTGTCTTTTACCTCCAACTTCTCCCCAAGCACCATCTGCCATGTGATGTATACACGTTGTCCACCAAGTAACAGGCAAGTGTCAGGGTGGTGGGTGGAGATAGACTGTTGTTTGCTGCAGGGTAGAAGCATGAATGAGGTGGTATCAACCACATGCTAAGGGTTTTTAATACCCTTGTTAATGCTGATTTCAGGTTAGGAGATCCTCAGATAAAAGCTTTAGAATATGTGTATAGAATATGTGTGGCCCAGGATGTGTTCCAGGTTGTTGCAGCCATTTCTTTGGGTTCTCAGATCCCGATACAGAATTATTTATGCTGCATTCTCTTGTCCAGAGAGATGAGTTCTGTGTGCATTGGTCTTACAGACCTCTCTGAAGTATTTTAATGCATTCATTTACAGCTTCATATTTCATAAGTTAAAAGAAAACTAATTAGGTCCCGAATGTGCTTCAGATCCAAAGTCCTGGGACAAGGGGATTCTCTCTTAATCTAAATGTACTTGCATTTTTACATTCTCACAGAGGCTGTGAGAAAAGTATATATGAGTTGCCCAGTGTCTATCTAATTAATAATTTATAAATATTTGTATGTAAATATATGTAATTGTATATTTCTGTATAATTTATAACTAAATAATTAAATCTGTATGCACTTTTACTACTAAAAGGAATGTCTGGAATTCAAAAAACTATTTATTAGGCAGAGAATACAATGTGGTTGTCAATCAATTGTCGTCTTGCTGCCTCTGAAACCTCTCTTGGGTATAATTCATTTTACATTGACCAGCAAGTGACCTGCAGGTTTATTGTTTCAAAGCTTGCATGACTTTGTTTTGTCTGCTGCTTATGCTGGGCAAAGCATGAGCCTGCTGTTTTTCAAGGACACCATGCTTCTTTTTTTTTTTTTTCAAACAGGAAAAAAACCCATAATTTTTTCCCTTCTTATGTTTCTCTGTGGGTTTGATTTTTTTTAAACTGGTGTTCAGATAAAATTATGTTGTTCTTTTTTGGCCAGCTACGTTGTTTTATCAGATTGTTTCAGGGGAATCTGTACTCTTTGGACTTGTTGTCCCTTCTTTTTTTGAATTAAATGTTTTCATCAGTAAATTTAGAAGAGATTATGAGAATATCTATGTTTGTTATGATTCATTGCGAGTTAATTACATTATGTGATAGTTCAGCTTCATTTGATAATGTGTTTATGAATATTGCTCTCTTTATGATAGTACTTTCCTAATCGTTTAAATGACTGTTTTTCAGATATTATTGCCTATCCCCAAATTGTCGTTCGCGAAGCCTAGCCATGATTGCCTAGAGCAAAGGCTCACTAGTTAAATCTGTTTTCATGATTTAATTACTCTAAAAGAAGAGTGAAACTGGTTATCCATTGTAGGAAGTGCAAACCATTCCTCAAGTCAAGTTTACAAACATGTCTTTCTAGGTTCTACCCTCGGTGGGACCACCGAGCAGGTGGGTTAAGGGAAAGAAGAGGTTAGTGCAGAGGTGCTATTTGAAAAGTCTTTGTAGACTTTATGAGTCTATTTCAAAATGCAGGTTGCTTATGCAGTTTGCTGTGTTTTAGGAAAATATTGCCACTTTCTATTAACAAGATCACTGAGAGGAACTTGACTAGAAACTTGACTAGAAAACATATATCATTATAAAATACATTTTGTTTTACTAGATTTTTTAGTAATCGGCTAGCTCAGTTTAGTTTTACATATTCTTGCTTCAAGACTTCTCTGTGCAAGCTTCCTGTTTCTTCAATGGGTACCTTTACTGATTTTAAAATTGAGCATTTGTTCTAAACTGGTTACCTAGGACCCTTCAAAGACATTAGCAGGAGTCAAACTATTTCATTACTGAAAACTAAACAACTGAGTTTTTTAAAGTAAATGTCTGAGTGTTAAGGGATTAAATGTAGGATGAACCTGTCTCTTTTCCATGCCTGATTCCTTCAGACAAGTGTTACCGGTTAATGATAATTGAAGTGATTTTACCCTCTTCCCCTTTCAAAATTCTAGTGTCTATCCAGTTACTAGTGAATAAAATGTTCAAATATAAGTAGTTTAAAAACCATGATGCAGATGAAAACATGAATCAAAACCTGGGTACCTTAAAAATTAAAGAGCCATTTGTCAAGTCTTCTTGGCCAGTGGGATGTTGTCCTATGTTTTCAAACTGCAGGGCTCAGTCAGTATCAATGTACTAAAATGTGTGCGTTTTATCTTCAAATAGGCTAACCGACCTCCAGCAAAGCTCAATCTCTTAACCTGCCAAGTGAAAACAAACCCAGAGGAGAAAAAATGTTTTGACCTCATATCACGTAGGTTTGTTGTTTAGGTCTTTCTACTTGCAGCTCATAGGAGAGTTTTGCATTATTTCTGTAGATGTGTCAATAATCCACTTGAACATTTTTACAGTTGTAGAATTCTTCACTTTATAAAATGCCCTTCCTACGACACTTTGACATTTCACTTATTTTAGCATAATGCAACTAACTGTACCCGTTTCTTTGGAAAACCGCTTGTTTTAAAAGATGTCTTAATTCCTTTTTTATATATCCTTTTGTGCTGTCTTACAATAGAGTGACTATTTTTGCCGTGACATCCCTCTTTATTTTGAAAATGTCATAGCTGATCATCTTGCAAAGTTATGATTTTTGCACAAGATCAAAAGATGTTTTTAAAACTTTAAAAAATTTAATTCTGGTGATTGCAATGTAACAGTGAAGAAAACAATGAAAGCATTTTTTGGTTTTGTGATCTCATTAGAGATAAAAAGGTGAGATAAAGAGTCTATGTGTTAAACCCACCAAAACTGAATAATTTTGGGATCGGAATGGGATGATGCAAAATTATGTAGTAGAATGTTTCCTTTGTTTTCTCACTAGGACATTTTACTGAAATATATATCTCAAATTATTTGGGGAGAAGAATATAAATGTGTTCCTCATTTGTTCCTTTAACAATGCATAAAGCTCTTTCGCATTTGTAAATGTAAACTGTGCTGCTTATGTTAGTAGACTAGAATGCATGTGTGCAATACAGTTTCTTCATTTTTGCACAAGTAACTGGGCTTCCCTGTTTACTTCTACCCTTTCTTTCTTTGTTGATGACCATGTCATGTTTTGCCCAATAGCAGCTTGTCACAACGTTATCACACACTTGAAGAGGCACAACAGGCCTCTTGTCCCTCTCCAGATGAGTGTTTCTCTTCGTTTTACTGTAGAGTTTAAAAATATTCCTTGTTTTTTACAAAATGCAAACTGCTGTATCATGGCAAGATAAAACCTCTTTGTGTAGCACTTTCCTTTCTATTCTTTCATATAGCTTCACTGTCTTAATATTTTCCACGTTTGAAGCTATCTTTTAATACATTTTTGCCTGAATATTTTTCAAACTTAAGAAATATTAATTTTAGAATATCTTTTTGCCAGTAGCTTTACCTCTGTTCTTCTCATTGACAATTCTAATTTTAACTCCAGCTTAGCCATTAAACTGTGTCATATCTCATTTGCTTTATAGACTTAAAATGTATTATGCTTTTTTCTTTAGTAGTACACTATGATAGCAATGCTTAGAATTACAAAAGTAGTAGTAAATTGAAAACTGTGAGCTTGATTTAATTGAAACAGCTTGCAGCTTATGCTGGTTGTAGTTTGGACTTTACGTCTGGCAAATTTATTTTTCCATATTTGTTTACTGTGGTTTTAAGAGCTCACTTGGACTCTTTAAATCTTTCTATCTTATATACACAGATAAACTATGTTTTACTTCTCTCCCTCTCATCAGAACATTAGACTTGTGATTACTAAGGTTATATCTAGAACATGGAAAATTTCCTATGCTCTCCTGCTGCTTATGTGATAGAAGCACAGCAGTGAAGAAAAAAGCTTCTGTTTAAAATGCAACAAGCCACCTTGTGTAAACATGGGTCTAATGATAGATGAAATGTAGGTAATAAGAGTGTAACTTGCTAAATAGACTTTTTGTCTGTCAGCACTGCAGTGATGAGACTAGAGAGCTTAGGAGTCATACATCAATTAATTTTAGATTTTTTGAAGAGATTTCTGCAAAATCAGTTTTTCAATAACTTTTTTTAATCAGTATGTGAATTATTTATTGTGCAGATGACAGAACATACCATTTTCAAGCAGAGGATGAACAGGAATGTCAAATGTGAGTTTCTTTGCTGATTTTATTCTTGATACTCGTGTTCTGCTGAGACTTACCTTGAATTTTAGAAGTGCCAAAACATTTAATAGCAAAATATTACTACCATTTTAGATGGACATCTGTGCTACAAAACAGCAAAGAGGAAGCTTTAAATAATGCATTCAAAGGAGATGATAACACAGGAGAAAATAATATTGTCCAGGAACTGACAAAAGAAATTATATCTGAAGTCCAGAGGATGACTGGAAATGATGTTTGTTGTGACTGTGGAGCACAAGGTGACTCAATTAAGCATATTTCTAATTGGTAAAAATTCTTTGTCTCATGAGAATATTTAAGCTTATGTTTTATGCTTTCACTTTTACTCCTTATTTCACAAAAATTATACACATAGTAGAATATGCTACAGTTTAATGGAACTACTTTAGTAAGATTGATTTGCTCTATGCTTATTGTCAGTGGGGAGAAAAGTTACTAAGAAGCTTATTTTTGTCCCATATATTTTGCTAATTGTAGCTTTTGGTTACAAAAATAAGTGAACTTACATAAAATATGGTTTAATAATATAAGATTATTTTATTATTTACCTAATTTACCTAATAATAGGTAAAACTGAGCAGCCATCAGAATCATGAAGCATTTTCTTAATACACCTTTTTTCTTGGGTTTTTTTAGTAATGTTTGACTAAGTGAGCCAGGGAATATGTCTAAGGCTGTGCTCATTTGGAAGAAAATACACCTGCACTGACTATGGTTTGCAGTGTTGGTTTTGTTGATCAATGAATTTCTACTTTAATCCTCTTTAATTTATTTTTTAAATCCTGCTGTTTCCTGTGTTCTTTTATGTTAGAGAGGCACTGCGGGGTTTAGGGTTTTTTGATGCGAAACTGTAGCTGAAAATATCAGATCTGATGCTGTCTGCACTTTATAAATCGATAGTTACTTCCAGCAATAGATATTGTAGAAGACTATGGGAAGAGTCAATCCTGCTCTCTTAAAAGGAGAAGAGTCTAAATAACAACTACCAAACCTTTATCAAATAAATAAGTTACTAAGCTGCCTGAAACTTCAGAAATTAATTATTTATCTGGAAGATGAGGGAATGTTATAATAAAATTCAAAATACCAGGAGAAGAGACAAGCAAGGGTTACTAAAGGAGAGGGATGAGCTTTAGTATCTTTGAAATAATTGAGTGAGAATCCATTGTAGTGTGTGCTGTTTGTGTACTTCAGAATCTCTTCTGCTTCACTTAGTCTGAAATCCATACTTGAAGTACAAAAAAACTCCAACCCCGTAAGCATTGTTATTTCACTTTAAACTGCACCTGTAGTCACAGTTGAGAATGTGACACTCTTATATTAGTGGTAGAAAAATGCAATTTTTGAAAGGTGTGTGAAGAATGACAAACTAGACTGGTTGAGTAGCTCCCTCGGAGAGAGATGTCCTTCACAAAAATAAAATAAATATTTTAATCTTCTTTTATCATTAAAAAACCCACTGTTTTTGTTTCCCAGTAAAGTAAAGGTAAAGACATAAATTATAAAATATATAATTAATGTGCAAAAATCTTATTTTACTTAATAGTATGTTCAAAACTGTAAGTAAGCCAAACTGTAACCTAAAGAGATTGTGGAGAAAAGAAACTCCAGGCCAATTTAGTGTATAAGATGAGATAAAAAGAGCAGGTCGTTTCATGAGGCCCTCAGGCCCAGGGGAATACACACGACGTGCACCCCAGACAGTGATTCTACAATTTTATAATATGGTCTGTCCAATCCCAAAACTATTTCACTTCTGTATGCTACATTTTCTAGAGTGAAATAATCGTCTGAATAAATTTTAATTGTGTGGGTGTTTTCTGTTTCAGATCCTACCTGGCTTTCAACAAATTTGGGAATTCTAACTTGCATTGAATGCTCAGGAATCCATAGAGAACTCGGTGTTCACTATTCCAGGATGCAATCACTTACATTAGATGTGCTGGGAACATCTGAACTTTTGGTAATCAAATTGCTTTTATTAACTTAAAAATAGTACTGTAAAATACTTCTAACACAAGTATATTTTTAACACTTTAACAATATGTCATTCCAATCCTGAAAGTTGCCTCTGGATAAACATAATTTAAGAAAGCTTAATTCAAGTTTAATGGATCCTCCTGGAACATAGTGTCCTACAGTAAAATTTGCTTATCTTAGAATTCAAATTAGTAGAGGCTTCATATTTTTTGTGTTTTCAGGTCTTTTTACCCTTGGTTGCTCTTTATAAGAACACAGCTGTTTGACATATAAATGTGCCTAAGATTAAAAATTGAAGGACTTGCAAATACTTATCCCATTAATTATTTAGCATTATTTTTAGAAGAGAACTTTAATCCCCAAAGAAAGAAAATGTATTCAGCTTTGCTACACAAAGAAGTTACCACTTATCAGCTGCTCTGTGTGACAGTTCATATGTGTGTTCTTACCCAGCACAAAGTATTTGCCTTTATCATATGAACTGGTGTCTTCATGGATTATTCTGCAGTTACTGGTTCAGGTACTAAATCCCAGCTGAAAATTAACATCCAAGAAGGTACCTAGTCTATTCATTATTACTGACATAGTAGCAGAACAAGGAATCAGAAATAAGAGATCCCAACTCTCGTTTTCCCTTGTCCTCCCCTTGATGTGGCTAATATGTGTGTGGTCAGTAGCTGAACATATTTATTAAGTGAGCTGTGGATTTATTTTTTTTTTTTTACAGCTTGCAAAGAATATTGGTAATGCTGGGTTTAATGAGATTATGGAGTTCTGTCTGCCAGTTGATGAGACGGTCAAACCTAACCCAAGCAGTGATATGTAAGTAAAGAGCCACTACTTCTGAGAAAGGCAAACGTTTAATTTAATATTGCTAAGAGGTTGTGCCATTATGGTCTGGACTGGGAGGCCATGGAAGATGTGTAATGTCTTATTTATTGTCTTATAGCCAAGGAGGAAACCTTTTTTGTGATGCTTGTCTGTTTTATTGAGTTTTGTCTGACTGTACCTTCCCTAATAGTAAGGATTATTTTACCAACTCTCTGAATCATGGTTTGTGGGACAGAAACAAATTAGCCATGACTTGTTGGGAACTTTAAAGACACACAAGGATAGGGATTAAAAAAACCAAAGCAAATAATTTTATCCTATTTAAACACAAAATAGAAATTGTAATAAGTTGCACATTTACCTGTAAGATACTGAACACGTAGTGTTTAGGAGCCACACCTAGGACTGAAGTCTGTAACTGTGTGGGATAAAGACAGAACATTTAACTGAATTCCTCGAAAACACTGAACAGCGATGGCAGAGATACAGCAAGGACAGCTGCCTGCTTGGCTGGATACTACTCCATCATAAAAGAGCTAGGAAACAATGCAGAAACAAATGCAGAAGAATTGGCTTTGGATGAAGCTGATTTTACATTATGTGGACTTTTAAGCATTCTGACAAAACCACTGTTAAACAGTGCAGTTTAAATAATTTTTGACTACCGCTATCAAGAATAGTGCAGATTATTAATATTAATAAATAAAATTACTTATAATTTTTCTGATTAGTAAAGCAATAAAATAAGAACACTTCTAAAATTTACATTTAAAAATCATTGAGTTAGATACCTCTACATATAAAATTTGGGGCTTTTTTATTGAAATGAGAATCTGAAGACACACTTTTTAAAAACTCCAAAGGAATACTATCAAATGCTTTATGAACAAGAACATTGATTAAATTTGTTATTATTTGTTAGGTTCTTTTCTTTCTGCCTATTGCATAGTATCTAGGTGATAAGGTATGACGTTGTTAAATGTCTTCTTTGTAATATTGTGTACATTCCAAGAGCTGGTAAGGAGTTATGCCTTTGGGAGGCATGCAAACTCCTGTCCAGCTGTGATGGGAAGAGGAGTAGATATGTGTTATTGGTATCAACAGCAAAAGTGATAACTCTTATGGATTCAGGTGTGCTAAGTTTTCACCTTTTTTAGAAATGTAACTAAGAGCTCTACTACATCCTCCCTTTTACGGTTGCGGTGAAAACTTGCTTTAAAGGATGTACTTTCACTACTGCAAATTCAAATTCAAGGCCTGGATAGTCTGTACAGAGGTATAAGAAAGATTTTTTTTTTTTTTTGTATCTCATGCTTTCCATCTCTTTCCAGCATGTGTACAGCAGTACAAGTCAGGTAAACGTAAACCTGCAAGACAACATAAAACCAGCATTGTGAAGCTCTGATGTATCTTCTGTACATAGAACTGGGTAGTCTTGACCTCAACCACACACTAGAGTTTGGAGGGGAAAATTCGTGGTCTGGCTTTGTATTGGATATTTGATTCATCTTCTATAACTATATTTCATACTTGATATATGAGACTGCATGGTTACATGCATATTTAAAAAGAAAATTATCATAATGAATGAGAACTAGTCTTTCCCAGATCTTATTTCAAATGACTTGCATGTATTTATGGAAATGCTAATGTGTATCTTCTGATGAAAGTTATAGAAGTAATTCATATTCCATTTCAGGAATGCAAGGAAAGATTATATTACTGCCAAGTATATTGAGAGAAAATATGCAAGGAAAAAGCACGCTGACAATGCAGCTAAATTGCATGCTCTTTGTGAAGCAGTCAAATCAAGAGACATTCTTGGTTTAGTTCAAGTATATGCTGACGGCGTGGATCTCACAGAAAAAATACCACTGGCCAATGGCCATGTAAGTGTTGTAAATTTTATTAGTCAAATTGTTTTAAATGCAATATGCATTCTTTAATTAAAAATTATTTGAAAATAACATGTGAAACACTGTTCTAAATGCTTGTCCTTTTCATGATTTACTTTAGCAATAACAAAAGAAGATACTAAATAGTTTAAGCTAAGATTGGTTCCAAATACTCTTGTATTTTAAATGTATTAAAATGCTAAACATAAAATCATTCAATAATCTGTTTTCAACCCATTTGTTTGTTTGCTTTAAAGGAACAGAAGGGATACAGTAAGTCTTCAGAGGTGTTTTTAATGGTAGCATGTCTGCATATTTTGAAATTACACATTTTAGTTGATCTAATTTATGTCTTAATAGAATTTCTGCTTCTCTGTTGATCAGAAGAAATAAATGTGCTTTTTCATTTTATTCTTAGGAGCAAGATGAAACAGCACTGCACCTTGCTGTTAGGTCAGTCGATCGAACATCACTTCATATAGTTGACTTTTTAGTGCAGAACAGGTTAGTGTATGGAAACTATATATTGACATTGCTTTTATGTCAAGTAGTACAAATACTGAATGAATACAAACACTAAAACTGTATTTGCAAACGTAATTTTATTCTTTAAAAATCTTCGAATGAGAGCAATTTAATAATATAGGGTAGGAAACTTAAGTTTAATCAGCTTTCTTCTTCTTTCTTGTTCTCCAACAGTGGCAATCTAGATAAGCAAACCTGTAAAGGTAGCACAGCCCTGCATTACTGCTGTCTAACAGACAACGTTGAGTGCCTCAAACTGCTGCTGAGAGGGAAGGCTTCTATTGAAATAGGTAAAAGGGTAATGTGTACTTCGATTTCCTTTTTGTCGCTGCTTCAGATAAGAAACAGTGAAGTCAGAATAAGTGCATTTTCTCCTCAATTGTTTATCATCAATCTGTAAACATAATCTTCATTATAAGAAGAATCAACATTCACTGTTTATTTCAAGTTTAAAATTCACTTATACATTGCTCTTATATTTAAACAGATTTAGATTTTTAATTGCTGTCTTTTATGTCTAGTTATATACTGCCATTTCATGGCTATCATTCATATATACATATGGCAGGTTGAATTACTACTGCTTGTCATGGTCAGAGGGTTGATATGATTTGAACCTACATATGAAGGAAAGAGATGAGTTTTAGAGTGTTGATCTAGTCCTTCACTATGTATCTGCAGGTTTGTCTTTAGTAATGTACATGTTAATAGTGACACTGCTCATCATATATTTCTTTTCTTACTGTAATATAGCAAATGAAGCAGGAGAGACACCACTAGATATAGCTAAACGTTTAAAACATACTCACTGTGAAGAGTTGGTGAGTATTGTCTTTCCATGTCTGCATTTATAAGCAAAATCATGTCTGAACATTTAACAGTTTACAATTGAATAATCAGTTAATATATTCTAGACGCAATAATATGCAATGCTAGAAATAGTTATATCCTTAGAAGTAGTTATAGGCTTTTAAGAAGAAAACTATATTTCTCTTTAAATGCATCAGAAATGCTAAAATTCTTGGGGCCAGGGGACGATTCTGTTTGAGCTATTAGTCAGAGATCCACAAGTAAGATTGCCTCAGTAAGTTTTCAGATGACACCGGTGTTGATCTGCTGGAGGGTAAGAAGGCTCTGCAGGGGGATCTGGACAGGCTGTATTTATTTGTGTTGTATTTGGTACCACAGCTTAATTCTTCAAATTTACCTGAGTGCAGTAACTTTCCACATTACTGAAATCAAGATTCCTTCTATATGTGGGCTTTTTGTTTTTAAACATGCTGTTTAAAAAGAAGTACTGCACATAACATAGGTGTTAACAGTCATCTCGTTTTTCCTTAGCTTACTCAAGCACTGTCTGGAAGATTTAATTCTCATGTTCATGTAGAATACGAGTGGCGGTTACTCCATGAAGATCTGGATGAAAGTGATGACGATGTGGATGAAAAGCTGCAGGTTTGTATCAGCATTATTTTTCTGAACATGTACATGTGTAAGTATGACGCTCATAATTATTTCAGTAACGTTGCTTTTTACTATGGTGCTTTTTACTTCTGCACGATGTTTTATATTTCTATCACAGTATTTATGTATTCCTATATATTGTATCACCATTCAGATAATAACAGCACTGATGATGACCTTTTTGATAAGGCAGCTTGAAACTTTTAGAGATTCAATTTTTTTCCAGCTGTAAAAATTTTTAGTAATTTACAATTAGAAATCCCTTTCTGGCATGCTGTAAATTTGTATATTTGATCTATTCTTTTCCTTCACTTCCTTCTTTTTCTTCACTTCCTTCATTGTTGCCAGTTGCCTTCTGCAGTTGAGTGTCCTCTTTTTGAATCACTGAGCTCCATCTGATATAGGAAGGTATCTGCTACTCAGCAGTGAGGCTAAAGTAATGAAGATCCTACTTCGCTGCCCATTATTAATAGGTTTATACTGCAGGGACTTCTGAAAGGAGATTAAGGGCCATTAATCACAGACTGTAGTCTGTGACTACATTGAATGCATGGGTGAATACTGCTGTTGCTTAGGATCACATTAGAGTTTTGTTTATAACTGTCAAGCTGTTGGGCTTGTCTTGCTGGTAAAGCAATTGAATAGATTTTGTAATCTTTGCCAGAAAAGATCCTGTCTGAAATTTGAGTTGGTTTAGTTCAGAGTATTTAATGTAAAAGAAAGTTTAACCTAAAAGAAGGTTAAGACAATTCAACTGGTTTCTGCTGCTGTTGCACAACCTGGCTGCCTGGTCCTACCTCAGTTTTGCCTCCACTCTGACACACGTTTGTCCCTGTATTGAACTGCTTCGGTCTGGTGAACCAGTGAAAAGCTGAATCAACAACGCAAAACCAGAATTTTCTAGTGGTTTAGAAAGCAGAAGTGTGGGCTTAAACAAGGACAGGACAATGGAGAGGTCAGGGAATGGAGAGTGTCAGCCAGTGAGTGAGGCTGCTAAGCCAAAGTAAAGGGTAGGGATTAATGTGTCTGGCTGTCACATACAGCATTCTGATAAATCTTTGAACTATAATGCTGTGCTGTAGCATGTCTAAAGGCCCTGCATGATCAACCCAGAGTAAGCATTGAATATATTCAGAGGAAAATTGATTGCTTGTTAGTGATACTCTTGGTGTAAATCTATTCTGCCTAAATGCTATTACTATAAATGGTTATTTTAATTTCATACGGACGGCACGTTAGCGATGTGTTTATCTAGTACTATTTCTGAAAGCACATTTATGTTCTCTGGGCTGTGGATTGTTACAGCCCATTCCTGTTGTAGCTACATGAATTTGTAACTCCAGTTATTTTAATTATGATTTGATAGCAATAATTACTATGCTTGCTCTTGAAACAGGAAGAATAATGCTAAGTGCAGATGATTGCTGTAAATCTCAAAGACAACTAATTAGATCTCATTTAATAATGTACATGGGATGAGCAATGATCCATCCAAGCTGCCAATTGAAGTAATCTCCTGAACTTGTCCAGCAATACTAGTGAGCTAAAAAGAGTTCATGAGAACTTTTTGCTCTTAATTTGCTCTAGGCTGAGCTACAGGTATAATACCTGGATGCAGCTGAGTCTGGGTTTTGAGATCATGATCATCTATTTGGGATTTAGCACTGCTGAATTTCAGATGAAGCTTATGATCTTCAGTTGTTTATTTGGTTTTGAAAATATTGCCAGGCATTTTGATGCAGAGAATCTTTATTTCATCCGATTTGATTATCTATAGAAGTATAGTCCTGTGCATATAAGGATACAATATTATCCTACAGGAGTATACTAGAGGAGAAATGAGAATATGTTAATTGTTTTGAAATGCAGTTCACATTTAATCTTCTTCTGTTTATGTGCACAGTTACTTTGTCTTGAAGAGGACAGAAAGTAGGTTTTAGATTACGTATTAAAAGCAACGAAAATGCATTTTAGAAGGCATTTTTTCTTTATAGAAACTAATAACTTTCTATCAACTAATAAATAAAGTGAGTACTACTAATGTGGTAATTATGAATTCTTTTGTTATTGTGTTTAAGCAACCCAGTCCCAATCGGAGAGAGGACAGGCCTGTAAGCTTCTACCAACTTGGGTCAAACCAACTTCAGCCTAATGTAGCATCCTTGGCAAGAGATGCAGCGAATATTGCTAAGGATAAGCAAAGAGGGTTTATGCCAAGTATATTACAGAATGAAACATATGGAGCAATACTGAGTGGCAGTCCACCTCCCGTTCAGCCTGCAGTACCTGTTACAAGTAGTGCACCTCCTCTACCTCCAAGGAATATTGGCAAAGGTACTAACAGCGGAAAATACCATTGTATATTAGAGGAATGGGATCATAACTTTTTTTAAAAAAGTTTATATTTTTAGGCTTTCTTTTACAGTTGTTTTGCACAGGTAAGTATTGGAACAGTTTACCGATGACTTCATTTTATGTACTTGAAGTGAAATTTGCTCAACCCGTTCTGAGTGATTTTAGTGTACCTATGAGAAAGTGCACAACAGTGTTTGAGACAACAATACCTAAATAATCTCACTAGAGCTAAGTCATTTGTTAAATGGAGGCCTGCAATTAATTTAGTTCAACAGTTTTTTTTGTTATATTTCATTTTTTCATGCTTGAAGATGTTGTTGTCAGAGTTCAGTTTAAAGATACAATTTCAATAGCATTTGTCTGCTGTGAAAATTTGCTTAAGACCTCGAAGAATGAAGAATGTATACAGAACATGAGATTATAACATTGCAAAGTCTTCTCTTAATATATGCTTCAAGGTTGTTGAAATAGAAGTATAAGTGTCATGATGTGGAGACAGCCCTAACTGGATGGCTGAAAATTTAACTACCAATTACTGGTGACACTCAGATCATTAGAACAATGTAAAATGTACGTGTCTTGTCCTGATTCAAAAGGATTGTGTGCTTGCAAAATCTACCATTAATGCTGATGCTGTGAATTTCATTCTTATCTTCGTATGTAATCTGTTTGACCATAGTAAAGAAGCATAGAGAAATGTCTACTGGTCCTCTTTGTACAGGTCATGCTTGGTGTTCCATTGTTTTAATACCTTTATTAATCCACCAGGTTTCATGGATGCTAAATTTATGTAAAGTTCAATTAAAGAAAAATTACCATCAAACACATGGTTTTCTATGGTGCTGTAAATCAGAATCCATAAGAGGAGATATGATCAGGGAATGTTCCGGGCACACATGGGCTTCTGCCTTTGGGAGCACTGTGCAGAAGTCAGAATGCAAGTCTCCATACACCAGTGATTGTGTTTAAGATGGCAGATTGATCATCTGTGTAGTATGAAAAGTCAGTTACTGCTCTCACAGGAATGGCTTCAGCATAGAAGTTGGATTAAAATATATTATTTTGGGAGTAGAAAAACAGAGAACAACAGAACAGCATGGGTTACTTTAAAAGGATAGCATGAGACTGGGGGAAGTTTAGTAGCATATAAAACTTTAACAAGGTGGGATTCCTTTCCTCTAGCACTTTCACATGAACTCTAAACTTAACATCTCAATAACGTTTTTTTTATTTGATGGAAAGCAATGTTTCCCCCACCAAACAGGAAAATTAACAGAAGGAGCTGTTAAACAAACACTTTGTTTAACTGTTAGAGTCTATTTCTGAATTAGTAATACAATTGGATAGTTAAAAAGACTTTTACCTTTTGATATTGTTTTAATCATGGCCAACCATACTATTTTACCCACTGTTTGCCCTTGATTAAATGGCACTTTTCAAAGAGTGTCGTTTTAATTTCATTCCCAACCCCAGACTTCTTGGCACCGCTATAATACAACTCATGCCAGGAAGACATGCTGCCTGCCTTAGATTATTAACTCATATTCTTTACTCTAGCGATGTATTAGCCTATTAATTTATATTCTTAGTTAAAAGCTATACTAGTATCATCAATCTCAGCTTGTTGTTGATTGGTGATGTTGTTTATATTATACTTACGGTGTATTATTACTCCTTTTATCCTCATAGCTTTAGGCAGTTCTCCAAGTCTTCTGAGCCTTTTATGCTTTTCCCTGCAACCTAATATTTATTCATACCTTACTCTGTTTCATCTTTTCTTAATATGATGCTCATGTGCAGAGTAGGGAGAAGTGGCATAATATGTGCAAAATATTGGCCTTTATGTGCAAAATATTGGCCTTATGAAGAAAACCTGTAGCGTGTTTTTATGAAATGAGGAGGCAGCTCTTCAGCCTAAGAATGGAGTCATTAAGAAGGCCCTGAAGAAGTCATACTTTGTAACTGTTTCACAACTAGTTACTATAGCTTCTTGCTTGGGTGAAATTCAGAATTACAGTTTTACATTGTTTCCAAGTCAAAACTGATGTTTTGCTTTGAGTGAGCAATGTGTACTAATGCTCGTGCGGGCGTGAGGTCCTTTTCTTGCAGTACCTGAGAAAATTACAGGTATCAGTCAGAGATTAAAGAAGGTAGCAAGACTTGCCTTGTGTCTTCTTGTTGAGAAACCTCTGCTTTTTTTAAGTGTTGACATATTCTAAAATAATGACTGGAGACAAATGTCACTTAGGTAAAATGTTAGAAGTTTCTGGTTGAAGTCTTGCTGAGTAAATTTTACACCAGACTGATTTCTGCTCTGGCTTTCCAGCAGGATGCAGTGGTTCCTATTGCTGATTATAGTGGTCTGGCTGCACCATTTCTAAAAGCACGGGTGTGAATATTAACACTGTGTGCTTAGGGTAAGCAATAATAATAATACAGTATTTTCCTCTCTTTTTAGTTCAGCCTTCAGTTCTTGGCAGTGGTATTCAGACAATTTCTTCATCTAATGCAATGTGGAAGACAAATTCTTTAGGAGTGGAAAGTATAAGCAGGCAGAGGTCTTCATCTGATCCACCAGCTATTCATCCCCCTGTGCCGCCATTGCGTGTAACATCTACAAGTATGTTTCCACTTTCCCCTGTTTTCCCTTCTGCTGTATCTAATCATAGTTGGCTTATTTTTCCATTTCCACAACTCATACTTCCTCTTTTGGTGACTGTAGCTTTGGCCTGTCATTCCCATCCAGTAACAAACTGTCTTCTCTGATGTTCCAGTGAGGACTGTATGGTGTAGTGCAGGGTCAGCAGGAAATACCATCTATTACTAGATCTAAAGAACTCATCACTTTATAGTTTCAGTGTTGCATTTCTCACTAGTTGTAAAGGTGAGTGTTACATGTAGACCTGGGGCTATGTCTCCACGTTGTGCTTGATTCTTGCAGACTGTTGGAGTGCAAAAAGTTGTTTTAATGCATTGCCAGCTGCTGTTGTGGTGGTTTCAATAGAAATTTTAATTAATTGCTAAACCTAATGTGAAGTTAGTTGTTAACAGGATTTTAAGAAAAGATGTTCCCCTAAATAAAATTTCTCTGATATTATTCATTCAGTTACTTTTTCATAAAACACAAACTGAAGCCTTGACTGAGCAAATAATATTAGCACTTTAAATATATTCTGATCTGCTGTTTTCAAGAATATGACTGACTTTGGTAAGAATTTTCTTTGCTTGTACTTTAATGGTGATTGAATTTAAGTTCTTGTGAGCTCTCTGAGTTTGACTAGGTGGAAAAAAAAGGTAAACCTCTTTCCAAAGAGGTCCTCCTTCCAATGGAAGGATTGCATTCTGTTAAAGGTATTGACTGCATGTTGTAAAGCATTTTTCTTGAATGGGGGTAAGTCCTGGAACAGGGAGAACCTGTGATGAGAACCCGAGAAACAAAATGGTAAATAGAAGTTTAATTCCATTTTGTTGTTGAACTTTCCTCTATAGATGTACTTTCTCCAGCACCACCACCTCCAGTGGCAAAGACAGCCAGCATTATAGAAGCTCTGAACCAGCAATCAAAGCAGCAACCAGCTCCTCCACAAACTAAGCCAACCCCACCACCATTGCCCCCACAACCTCCGAGTAGAATCTCTCAAAGAAAGCCTATTCCTGGGTAACTGATGTCCTTTTAGTATTTAATATGCTTCATCATTGTTAGCAACTTATCAATTGTATGATATATAGCATACAAGTCATCTATAAAGCATGCATACTTCTGCCAGTCATGTTCTAGAGTATGAGAATGAATAAAGGCAGACTCTAAGGAAGCAGATGACAGGGATTTCTATGGTAAAAACAAGACAGCCTAGTGATTTAAGATTGTATGACTTGCAGAATATCTCTAGAATGCTTAGCTGCGATGGAAATAACAAGCCACAAAGAATAATCGATTCCTAATTCTCATCTGTAAGCTATTTTTTGCTCACATGCTTTATGTAAGTTCTGTTGCTTTCAATCTTTTCACTTGTAGAGTGAAAGTAGAGAAGTAGAGAGACCTGGAACAGAAAAAGTAATTTTTAAATTTGCAAAAAACTAAGTTAGGAAGGAGAAGTGTACTGGAAAACAGGATCATATCCAAAGCATCCTTGACAAACTGGAGTGGTAGTCAAGGGAGAAGAGGGGTGTCATTCATTAAGCAACACTTAGTAATTAAGAACAATCAACTACAGAAATGAAGCATGGAGAGCAGCAGAGTATGGGTAAGCAAAAGTCCTTAGAAGAAGGATCTATAAGGACACAGTGAATCATAAATAAAAGCAAGTCAGACAACTTGTGCTGTTGTGGAAGAGTTAAAGAGAAATGGTATTATTTCACTATAGCCTGAAAACTATAGGAATTAATCCTCCCAATTGACTCAACTTCAGTAGTGCCTCAGTGGGACTGCTGTGTTCAGTTTGGGGCATTACAGCAAAAGAAAGATACAGAATAGTGAGGCAGAAACCAGGGGACATCAATAAGGTAATGAGAAGTCTAGAAAATAGGATCTTTGAGAAAAGTGTGGAAGAAATAATGTTTCATTCACAAAATGGGACTGAAAGACGTTAGCAATCTTGGGCCTTTAAGTTCCTTTTCTAGCCTTTTTATTGCATATACCATACTAAGTAGAAGGAAGACACAACTTGTTGAGGCTTGCTATAATGCACAGGCTAATATGGATACATAATTTTAACCAAAAACAAATTGAAAAAACCAGTGAAAGCAACTTCAAAACTTGGGAAAAGCCACAAATTGCATTAATTGCACCTATATTATTCTTCTCCCTTTTTTAAATTAAGTGCAACTTTCAATTGGCATAATCAAAAATACAGAAGAAAAGTAGTATTTTTAAAAGCAAAATAGCTGTCACCAGAATATACTGAAGACGTGCCAAGACTTTTATAATTTGGAAAGAACTTTGTATTGTTGCTTTTCTGAAATGGATCAATTTCTCACTTTCTGCACAGGACTGAGAAGTCATCTGGCTTAACTAACAAAGGGCAGACCAGAGGACCTGGGTCTCTACAACAACCTGGTAATTGTGGTTTAGAAATTAGTTCTATTGTAATTAAACTATCATTATAACAATCTAAGGGAGAGTGTGGGTTTGTGGTGTTTGTTTTTCTAATTTACCTTGCACGTTTAACTACAGTCAGTACCAACATTCTTCTTGATGTCGGCCCTGATGCCTACACAAGTTCTTGATACACAAGTTCTTCTTCATGAACAGAGTTATGGGCCAGTTAATGTAAATAATGGGGCCATGTAATAAGCAGAATCACAGAATGGTTGAGGCTGGGAGGGACCTCCACAGGTTATCTGGTCTAATCCCTCTCCTCAAGCAGGACGGCAAGAGTGGATCACTCAGGACCATGCCCAGAGAGCTTTTGTGTGTCTCCAAGGATAGAGACTCCACAACCTCTCCAGGCAACCTGTGCCAGTACTGGGTCACTCTCACAGTAACATTATAAAAAATTTAGTTTGCCCTGTGGTTTACATGTGTCATAAACAAGGTATCAGATACACATTTTAGAACAGAAAGATGTGTTTCTGGTTTGAAAATTTAAAGCTTATACAAGTTTCACTTTTAATTAAATTGCAAATCGATATTGCTCTTTTCATGGTAATAAACAGAGTTTGTTATTCAGAGTTCCTTATTCATTCTGTGCTTTTCATTGTCCAAAGTAACTACTACTTTGGGACTTTACAGCAATGTAATCTCCATAAAATCTCTACGGTAAAGCTTGTGTAGATTCTGTGGTGGTTGTAGTGGAATTCCTCCTGCCCAGTTTTCCTTCCCACTATATATTTTATGTTCATTTATTTTTACTGTGATTCTTTTTTATTCCCTCTTGACATGTCTAAGGGGAATTTGCTAATGCTTGTCATCTGTGTCAGGAGTCTCCTGTAAAGAATACAGCATCTTGATAATTATGGTCTTTAGTCAGAAAGAAAGGTTCTAACAGTACACAGTCTGTACTGAAGGAATGGGGAGATGATATATTTGGTTTTGCCCTCATCTATTATATAGGTTTATCTTTTTGGTAAGGAAAAGAATAGAAAATTCTATTCAGTTACTTAGAAAGAACCATTAAAAATTAAATACTTATGGAATATAAAAATTTTTGTGTCCTTTAAAGAATAATTCATTTGGCTTCAAATGATACTGTTACTTTTTTTTTTGAAGCATGCCTAATATTTACTTGGTTTACTTACCTTAGCAGGAGAATCTTCTTCTGTATGTGACATTCCAGGAACACAGGCTGGTTCTACAACAAATACTTTGGCACAAATCCAGCCACCAGCACCAATGCCAAGGAAATCACAAATAGTAAGTACAAAATCTGGCATTTGATTTAATTAAATCTGCATTCTGTTAAACACACTGGACGTGATTATGTATCCTATTATGGAGAAAGTGTGAGAATCATGAAACATACAGAGCCTGTATCCTGTGTTTAAGTATATGTGTGACTTGTACTAAGTATTTATGAAAATTTTGTTTTTCTTGAACTTCCTCTAAGATAGTATATGATTTTTAAATTTAAAAAACCAAACCAAACCCCCAAAAAACAAAGAGAAACCAAAGAAAAGAAGTATGGATTCCTTGTGGTGTTCAAATGTGTCCAATCCACCGAATGTATGGTTTGACTTACTGAAGATAAATAAGCTTTATGAGTTAGTCACTCGTAGGTGAGCTTGGTGAATGAGTCACTTGTAAGTAACATTTAACTTCATTCTTAATCTTGCATTAGTTGGGAGTACAAAATTTTCTGGTTTCTTGCCTCCCCCACTTGTTCAACCAAGTTACTGTCTGTCATGCATTAAAATAACTTTCATGTTTTAGGCCATAACAAAATTAAATGGTCTAAGTAGTGTAAAGTGGAAAATCTATCCCTTTTGCTTACATTATCTTATTTACTTTGTGAAGCTGTTGTATCCTAATCACAATTTCTCCCACGTGTGCTGGGATTCAGGTGTGAGCAGTGTGTACACATCTGTTGGTTCTGAAACAGCTGCTTACCTGATTTTCTGTATAAATTGATGTTGTTGTAGTTTCTGTATTGTTCTTTCCTTTTTATTTTTTTTTATTTTATGGGACAAAATGCTTTAATTATGAGTGAATGGGCTGTTCTGACTAGTTTCTAGGGTCAGCATCTTCACTGTTTAATATTAATTACATAGTATGAAGAACAAATATGACTTTCCAGATGTCTCTAGAGCTTCAGTGGGGTGAATTTTGTGACTGAGAAAATCACCTGGGTGACTTTCTTCTGTCACAGGACAGAGAAGTAAGGGAAAACCTGGCTCAGGGAGCGTGTGCTAGTTAAGGTGCTTTAGCTTAATCAATGTAGCTAAAGCATCTTAGCTGAGATTTAGTCAAGGGCCCCTCAGCTAAAGAGCTTTAGCTAGATCAGCCTAGCTAAAGTTCTTTGGTTAAATTGCTCCATTTAGCCTTATACTCCAGCACTTTTTGCTAAGTCTTTACCCTGCCAGAAAATCCAGAGGTCAGCCCAGATTTAAAAAATGGTTGTGGAAACGTGAGTAAAGAAAAGACGAGTCTAGCTGTTTATGCAGATGTAACCAGTGGCTTATCTGCTATATAGTGCATTTACCCAATAACCTGTTTAACAGATGGAAATTTTTGATTCATCTTTTTTGTTTCTTTTTTTTCCCAATATGTTATTTAGATTTTTGAAATCAGACTGTAGATACATGGGAAACTTCCCTGAAAGATTTTATTCCTCTGGGAATGAGATCTGTTTTCATTTCCTTGCCTTCTAAAGAACAAGAAATACCTGTAGTTACTGCACTTTGAAGTTGCCATTTTATCACCCTTGTACTGATGTGAAGCTTTTTCCTTTTGACTTAAAAGGTGGTTGTGGCTCAGACTGTCGCTTGTCTGAGAGGGAATGTCTCCAAAATTGCTGTGCTGCCGTGCCAGACTGACAGTTCGCAGGGGTGAGAGAGCCTCAGGGTGTGCCTGCCCTGGGCAGGCCAGGCTTTAGAATACAAATGGATACTTACAGAACAGCATAACCATCATTCTGCCTCCCTCCTTCCCCATCCACATTCCCCATTTTTTTTTTTGCATGGTGCTCAGCTCTAACAAAGTAGCACATTAAGAGCCTGTTGGGCAGTACTGTCCACAGCAGAGAATTTTGCTGGTAGAGAATTGTGAATGGAATCTCTTCTCCCTCTACAAGCTTCCTGCTCCATGGCTGACCTAACTAGAGTGTGGGACCAGTCCCTGGGGGGCTCCACGATGGTGATGAAACCATCTTCTCCTTATCCCATCTGGAGTTCCTGTCCCAAACACTCACTGTATTAACAGCCATCTGTGACCTAAATGGCACTTACAGCTCTGCTCTGGCATCTTAGAGTGGAAAGGAGCAATTTTTTCTCCCTATGCCTGGGAAAAGGGTAGGCTCGTGGTAGAAAGCTTACGGCCTGCTTCCAGGTCCTGTGTCTCTTCACCTGTGCTGGGTTGTTTTGCATGGAAACACTGTGTGGGCAGCATTATTGTTGGTCTGCAACAAAGGATGAGGAGGCTGAAAACAAACACAACAGCCAACTGGGTTACACTGGGAGAGGTGTGAGATTAGGATGGTGGATTCCGTGAAACCAGAGCAAAACAATTTTGGTATCATTTAACACAGAACACCAAGCTAGGCTTGGAGTCCCACTGCCACACTGGAATTGCAACTCCTTACTAAACTTTCCCTTTGAAAGAGTTGCCAAACGACTCTTGTGGCTGGCAGTCTTCAGAGCACTGCTGAGAGGCAGAGGATGTTTTGGAGGGTTTGTACACTACTGAAGTGGGTTTAGCAAATAAAGAAGGGGTGTATTGGCAGGTGGCTGAGGCCTCCCCCTGATAATGCTGCTGCTGCTACCCTTGCTGCACAGAACTCAGTCCTGATCACCCCATCTTCTGAACAAAACTGTGCTCACTGCAGTGATGTAGAGCTCTGAAGACAGGTTTGGGTGAGCCAAAATGGAAGATTTCTAAGGGAAACCTGGCCCATGTTGTTGGCACAGTGGTTTCAAAAAGCTTTGGGTTGCTAAATTCAGCCTGAAGCATGAGCACTCAGCATAAAAGATGTAGCTGAACTCTAAGCTGTGAAAAATAATGGTTGGAAGCAGTTGTGAAACTTTAAATCAACTCCACGTCTGCTATGTCTCTTCTCTGCTGTATTATTTAAATTTATTTTTTTCATTTCAGTCAAAAACTAAACCCAAGAGAGTAAAAGCAATTTACAACTGTGTAGCAGATAACCCAGATGAGCTAACTTTTTCAGAGGGAGATATTATTGTAGTTGATGGTGAAGAAGATCAGGAGTGGTGGGTGAGTATTTTGCATTTTATGTCAACACACTTTGAAAGAAAGAAATGAAATCTAGAGGTTGACAGTGACTTCAGAAGACCACATGCTGGGTTTCAAAATAGAAAGAAACGCTTCATCTCATGGAAACCTGATTGCAGAAAGTAATTTAGTTCAAAAAAGTCAAACTTCAGACAAGCTTCTAGCTTTCCTCATTCAGAAAAAAAAAAAATCTAATTAATAGGGTACACAATATATGGGGGACATGGTCTGCGTGATCTAGAAAATTTTTGGAGTGGTGTCAGCAATTTAAGAATCTGCTGCTATTACAGATGCTGTATGGTGGGCCTCAGAAGAGAGCTTTGTATTGTCCTAATTCTTCAGCTGAATGAGACTGAGTCTATTTGAGCAGGGAAACAATCTCAGCTGTTTACATTCCAGAGTCTCATCGGCTAAAGCAAAATCTTGGAAAATTATTGTGCATGAAAACACTTGCCCATATCTGTTAGCTAGCAAAGAACAGAGCTTCAAATTGCATCTAGATTGACAATAATGCTGTAAAAACAAAAATAGATTCATGTGAGACCCAAAACTGCCGAAGTTTGATACATCCCTTTACCTCACAGTGATTAAAGAAGCAGCTTAACAGAGGCTGAATATGAGCTGCCAGGCATTACAGATTGCACTGAAATGATGCAGCAGTGGAGGACTGAATTTTCCTATTCTCAAAAATACCACTAGTACAGAAAAGACGTAGGGAGAGGCTTGTTGTGTTACAGGCAGGAAGTTCACTGATACTTATTTTGATAATACTGAAATATCATTTTGAGATTTAACTTGAAAAATATCTGGACTCTTTCAGATTGGTCATATTGATGGAGATCCCAGTCGGAAAGGAGCTTTCCCTGTATCATTTGTGCACTTTATTGTTGACTAAATTGCTACTGATAAGCGGAGACATTTCTCATTTCCAGCAGTCACAGAAATAAGTTTTGTTCTATTTCATTTCACCTACCTATCTGCAGACACCTTGCCAGAGCACTGCCCAAGTTCTAGGTACTGTAGTTTACTTTTTTATTGCCATCATTCTGATTTGGGGACTTTTAAAACTTTTTTCTATGTGAAAACTTCTCATAAGCAGTTTACACTTTTAAAAAAAAAACCAACTCTTCCTGTATTTTTCAAGGTGAACTGAAAAGCTTTAACAATCAAAGTCCACGTGTCTGAATATCACAACATTATGAATGTTCTTATCAATCAATTACTGTAATTTTATTCTACCTTTTGTAACATGACAGTACTACAGTTCAGTGTTGCTTCCCCAGTCAAAGAAATTGTGTGTGCATCTAACAGGGCAGTGAATTTATCCAATTCTTCAAACACCATTTGAAGTGTTTGGAATCAAAACATGCAAGCTGCTGTGTAGTTCTGAATTGGACTCATTCAGCATCTTGCCATACTGGCTGTCATCCAGGATGTCAACAGTTGCAGAAGAAATTATTTTAATCGTGTGTCTTTGGCCAGGTAAAAGTGAAAAAGTATTTCAGTTTACCACAGGAGAAACTTCTTTCTTTCAGAATGGATGTAGATATTTGCTTAAAGTTATCTGAAATCTGTTAGTCGTTGAACTTTCTAGTTCTAATTTTGTGAGCTTGAGACTGTTTCGTTTTTCTATGCTGCACGTGTGTAGAACCTGTTTTTTGAATGTTCTTTATGTATGTTTCATCCTTTTTGGTCATTTAATGTGACTACTGCTGGTTAACTAAACTATGGCAATATTAATGAGTTACTACATTAACTCAAGGATTTGAAAACTGCATTTCCTGAAATGTACTTAACTATGATGATGGATTGCAGAGCATTTCTTACACTTGTCTCGTTGTAGCGTCTAGACTTTGTTTTTAAATTCTTGAATTTTCCTTAAGTCATCCAGCAATGTGTTCACAGGGAGAACAGATTTGGTGGAACAATTAGGTAATTATCCTTGGTCAATGAGGTATCTGACACCTCACAAGTACACTACGTTATGTTCTGGTTTATAAAATTTGTGTGCCACTACCTTGCAAACAATGATAGTTTGCAACTCACTCTGTATTTATATAGTATACCCACATATATGGTAGCTACACTGTTGTTAAATTTGTTTTACTGATTCGTGAACAAAGGCTAGGCCATGGATAGTTCCCAGTTGGTTGATGGAATATAAAACACCAATGCAAATCTGACGTCATTTTGATGTTTGTATATTGTGAAATTGTACCAGGTTTTGCTTATGCTACAGGAAACTGAGGCATAGGATACAAAAAATCAATGTCTAGGTCACATTGGCTTTGATCACGTTTCGTGAATATTGTATCTCTAGATTTATCAAGAGAACTTTGAATTTCTGGCAAATGGTGCTTAAATTGGCCCCTTCATATGCAATGGAAAACAGGCCACCACCACCATATATGCTTATTTGGAGAAAAATCACATTGCAAAGGTGCTGGAAGAGCAACACTGATCTCACCTTGTGCCACCCTTCCTGAATGGTACCGTGGCTTGATGCCTCTCAGGCGTGTGGGTACAGCCACGTAGATGTTTAACTTTCACTTCCTAGATGCTGTTGCTGCAGTATAAATGGGGAACAAACTGGAATGTTTCAAGATATTTTTATTGCAAGTCAAAGCAAATTAGTCCGTATTTTCAAAGTTCCCAGTAAAATGATAGAGTAATAGTTTAGCACTACAGTTTTATTCACTTACTGATATGTTCAGTTTGCAACACTATTTTGTATGTTTCTATCCCTGATAGAGTCTAGAGAGTAAATGGGCATATTATTTTGCACAGATCTCCTAATGTACAGTATTTTTAACACAGAATCTTATAGTGTATGTAACAATTCGTAAAGTTAAAAAATTATGCAAATTTTCCTTGAGTTCTGCTAGAAGAGGAATACACGAAAATGTCACAGCTGGTCACTTAGAAACTAGGAAACTTTTAGACTAAACTTAATAGCACTACCAGTGCAGACAGATAAAATCCTGAGGACCAATAAAGAGCAGCTAAGCAAAATTTATCCCTTGATTTCCCACGTTTCTCAAAGTTTTCTCCTCTGGCAGAGAAAAAAGAAATTCTAGAGCCTGTAGATATCTATTTATAATATAAAATCAAGAATTTTAAGTCCAAAATTTTGGCATATTTCATACAACTTTTCAAATCTGATTAAAATAATGACTCAAAAAACCTGTTAATAGACAGACTATTAGGTTGCTGTGTTAACTGTTTAAAAAGGAGCAAGTGACACTTAAAATGCAGCTTAGAATGCTACGAGATGTATAATATTCAATTCTGTTGTTTTTATTTTGTTTAGTTGCAGAGCAACTGTATATATTGTATAACCTAAAATCAACTCTTATTTTCAATGTCCTGGATGCAGTGATTTATAATTAGAGCATGATTAATAAATTTTACTCTTGTCAACCAGTCAAATGTCTGGAAAAATAAAACTACTTTTAAAATCTTTGTCTGCTTCTCTTCTGTTCCTTTGCATTGCTTAGGCAATACTGTTCTTTTTAATGTGTAAAAATGATAAATACTAATAACTAGCACATGAGGAAAAAAAAAGTACATCTTGTGGACTTTAGCTGAACATAGAAACTGTGTAGATGACTCACCTCTGATTAAAGGTGTAAAGCACCAGATGACTCCCTTTTACACTTCGCTTTTGTTTTGTTCTAATATCTGGGTTAAGCAGAACCCAAGCCTGTATTAATAAATTGTTTCTCGGACAAGGAGACAGAAGTAAGTGTCAGTTTTATTTTACATTTCTACAATATTGACATTAATATACAAAATACAGTTTAGGAAAAAAAAAATCATGTTAAATATAAAATTCTTGTCCTGAAACCTGAAGATGGAATAATTTCTTCAAGTCATGTTTGAGGAATGACAGAGTACCATGTGCAAGGTTGTGTGGCTCTTTGCACAGCAAGTCTGTCTTAGGATTGTGTGGCTGCAGCCAGTCTGTGGTATCACAAAGGCCTCTTGTACTACACACTCACGTGCTGCCCCAGAAAATCAGGACTTCTCCGACATTAAAACTGAATCGAAGGCTGTAGATAACACTTTGCAAATGGCTTGTGCTTGTTCCTAAAACACCCAAACACACGTGTTAATGCTTTCTGAAGAACTTCTCAGAACTCATTTAAAGCAGAATGTGACCTTTACCCTTCTTTTGGCAGACATGCAAAATGGAGTAGCACAAGTGAGACCTGATTGCATTTCTGTGGCCTGCACTGACACGGGAAAGCTGCTTTAAACGAGCTCCTTTGAAACAAAGTTTTTGGCTGTCATCAGAGCACAGCACCAACCAGCGTTCAGAACATCACTTCTTGTGTTCCCCTAGTGCTACCAGCTAAGGGTCTGTGTCATTGGAGCATCCTGACAATGGGTTCTCCTGCTCTTAAGAAGGGATCACCTCCCTTGCTTACAAATATGACTGCATGCTCTACTACCAAAATTATTGCTTGATCCCTCCCTGCTCTGTCCCATCTTAAGAGATATTTCTCTTTGAAAATACAAGTGGAGGACTGTCCTCAGCAGCTACCATAGCACTCTTTACATTGCAAATTTAGACTGAAAAGAGCTTTCTCGGGTGTGTACATTCATTGGCAATTTTAGGGAATGTAGGTGTTTTCCTCAAAGCTGATCAAATGCAGGGCTGTTCTCCCTCCTCAGCCAGTGCATTTATACTCTTTTTTTTTTCAATTGAGCAATCCTCCTTCTGCTAAAAGCCTTCACAAAGGCCTTACGTTTTAGAATCTCCCTTTACAATCAAAATTAAAAACTGTAAGCATAAACTCTTACCAGACTATTGCACTGATATACCCAGAGGCTACATTCTTCAGAGGCTGCATCTGTTGTCTTCAAAGCCAGTAAACTTTTTCCTGCTCCCAGACCATCATCATAGCAGACCATCCGTACAATTAGATAGAGAGCATGCCTGTGTAACACGTCCTGAAACCACGTAGCAAATAAAAGTTACTCTGGAAGAATGCAACAGCTATTTCAGTTTTCCACCTCTTTTTATCTTCCTTCCAAAAGAATACTTCAGATTTACTTACAGGAGAAAAATATTCCTTAGTAATTTTTTTTTTTTAAATTGAGAGTTTAAAGATTTTAAAAAGTGGCAGCTTAACATAACTTTAGCTTATATTTTTGCTTCTGTTTTAGAATTGCATTCCTATATGGACTGTGAAGACAAGCTAAGAGAGTTTCAGTTGTTCAGCCTAGAGAAGAGAAGGCTCTTGGGAAGACCTTAAAGCACCTTCCAGTACCCAAAAGAGCTACAAGAAAGCTGGAGAGGGTCTTTTTACAGGGCATGGAGTGACAGAACAAAAGGGAATGGCTTTAAGCTGAAAGAGTGTAGGTTTAGATTGAACTGGCACAGGTTGCTGAGAGAAGTGGTGGATACCCTATCCCTGGAGCGTTCAAAGTCAGGTTGGATGGGGCTTTTCAAAGTCAGGTTGGATGGCAGCTTGGTTTAGTGGGAGGTGTCCCTGCCCATAGCAGGGAGTTGGTACTACATGATCTTAAAGACCCCTCCCAACCCAACCCATCCTATGATCCTATGATTCTATGACTACGTTCCTGTCCATACTATGAAAGCACACATTCACTTCCCACCTACCCTCATTTGCCCTCTGGGACAGGGGGGACACTCTGTACCTCTGGCACAGATGTAAATTAAAACAACTTCTTTCTTTTTCAGTATTTTTCCAGACAATCCCTTGTCTCAGTTCCGTACACACAAGAAACTTTTCCCAGAAGAGGGTATAGACAAGGCCAGTTGCTTTGGGAGGTAGTAGCCATGTGGCTGTAGCCAGGCTGTTTGTGGCCTGAGCCACAGGGTATGTCCTGATTGTTCCACAGACCTTGTCTGGGACAATTCCACTCTCCACCATAGCTGCAGGGTTTCACTATAGTCCCAACACTTCTTATTTTGGCCCTTTCAAAAAGGGGTTGGTTTAAGTCATCCAGTACAAGGTCTCTGCAGACCTACCCTACACCAAGCCTTTCTTCTCCAGCCATCCTACCCTCTGATCATACTCATCTGGTTTATTCCAGTCATACCATCTCCAGGGCCTTAGGAATTCAAGACAGCTCTGTT